AGAAAGCTTACCGAGTTTTAGAAAAAAGTAACGATTTCATTCGACATTTCCGTTACAAATACTTGTACTTTTTCCCTAAAAAAGTAACGAAAGTACAAGTAAAAGTACTAAATTTAAAAAGTAACGAAGTACAAGTAAAAGTACGTACTTTTTACTTGTTCCGGCGGTACAAGTAACGAAAGTAAAAGTACTGCCATATATGGTCGCCAATGAGGGGGATTATTTATCGACCATGTCAAGCATCATCTATCAAAAGGTACCTTCAGTAAGAATCAAGTTAACATGTGTTATATACTAGTGATTTGGCATTCAATATTTATAGTGGTAGTTACGCCACAATATTAGTTTTTGACTCATTTTTTAAAATTCTTTTTTCTTTCATTTTGATAATCTGCATAGAACAATATTTATAAAACGTTTTTCAAAATCTTTTATAAAACAATATTGCACTTAATATTAATGTAGTAAAAAAATGTGAAAATATATAAGAAATTTGAAAATAAGTTTATTTCACAAATCTTAGTTTAAATAAATCGTTCAATGCAAGCTATAGGAAGAATTTCAATCCGTGAACAAACAAACTACAATTAATGGTGTGAAAAATAGCGAAAGACGATTTATAGAGAAGAGAGAAAAATTAAAATATCAAACCTTAAATCAAAATTTTTCAAGTAATGTCATAAAAAAAGGTCATACTTTTTCGAAACATCTCATTCATCAATGGACCGAATTCTTTGTCAAATAGGTCATAAGCAAGCGAGACTAATTGGGCCCGCAAGTACATGTCATATGAATATAAATGGATTAATATACTGTTCGGAGATTAAAAAAATAGTGTAATTTAGGCCTTTCATACGGCATTATTTATTATTTTATAACGGGCATTGAACAGCCAACCCAATTCTGAGTTTACAACTATCAACACCGTAGCATTGTAATTTTGAGTCACACCCCGAAAACAAGGGAACTTCTGGATAAAGCATTGGGAGAAACTAGCCTTCGTAGATTTTTTGGTAGAATTAATCCGCATTTGCTTTCCATAGCGAGGAAAACCATCCACGGTTAGCTCGCCAGAAATGGGACTCTAACCCATGATCTGTCTACCACTGGGAATATTTTAAGTCAGCACTGTTCTCGGAGCGAGCCGAGTGCAGAATCCATATCAACCAGCCGTCACTGGGATTTGAACCAGTGTCACCACCATTGGAAGCCAAGCTCTTTATATCCCCAAAGCTACCATGGCTCCAACACTTATTACTATTTTTAAAATCGTCGTTGAATTACCGACCTAATTTTTTTTTTTTGAGTTTATGACTACCGATGTTCAACTCCGTCACTTGGTAATTTTGAACCCAATCCAAAAGACAAGGGAACTCCTGGGCAGAGTATTAGGAAAAATTTGCCTTGCGGTGGACTTTTTTAAGGAACCAACCCGCCTTTGCGTCAAGTGGAGAGAAAAACCACGAAAACCTCCCATGGTTATTCTAACGGCAAGGGGACACTATAACCCATGATCCGTCTGTTCCATGATGCAACTAGCTAGCAACATAATATAGCTTCCTTTGGATTCAATAACCAAATTATTTAAGCGTTCTTAAGTAATCGTAAAAACTTACTTAATTATCAAAACACACCTGGTAGCCTTCTCTCTTTCAGAGAAATATTAAGTGGACTGAAGTTGGTTTCCCAATAAGGTTATGCTGGCATGTAAAAATATCTAAGACTATAAAATAATGGCTTTGAGCTAAAAATATTGCAATTTTTAATTACTCCTTCCACTGAATCTTTATATAAATCTAGAGAAAAAAATTTAAATATCGTATTATAAGCCGCATATGAGAACAAAAACAATATTCATCAGTACTGAAATTGAAAAGAACCATTAAAATATCATGGTTGAATATTCTAAAAAATATGAATGTTTCTCCTTTGGAAACTGAAGTAAAGGAAAACTGAGTGTTCCAGTTGGTCAGAAAAAAGGCCTATAAATTATTATTAAAATCTAGTACTTTATTCTATCTGAATAAATATTGACATGTGTGATTTTAAATTTTGTGTCAGCTGAACCTGATAAAAATGAGAATATTTTTTTCTGCTTTAATGTTTTAGATATTATTTTCTTTTTCTGTTTTCTATCAATTTATCACATATTCAGTAAAATCAATGGAAAAAAAGCATTATTTTAGAATTTGTAAAAAACATTCCATGCGAGTTGAAATTTCTTTGGCACATTGTATAAGGAAGCATGAGAGTCTTGCATTATTGGATAATAAGAAGTTGCTTTGATGAGTTTTCCAGAGTGGTACTATATATATATGATATACAACTATAAATGATGTTTAAAACAATAGAAATGCAATCGAAGTAATTTTGAAATAAATTTGTTCCTTTTTTGATAAAGGAAAGAAAATAAATCAATAATGATCTTTAAGCCAAAAAAGAAATCTTTAAATAGCGAGACATATCTGCAGTTCAACTCGTAAATGAGGCGATGCGTTCAGTGCTTTAATACTCTTACGATTCTGTTTCTTTGTATGTTAATTATAAAAAAATGTTCTTAAAAATAATTTTTCAATCTTTTGTAGTTATAATTATTATTCTACATTCGTATAACGTAATAGTTCATCAACTCTATGAGATTATGTAAACGAGGCGATGCGTTCAGTGCCTTAATACTTTTGCAATTTTCTTCTCTCCATTCAGATTTTTATAAAAAATTCTGTTTCTTTGTATGTTAATTATAAAAAAAATGTTCTTAAAAATAATTTTTTAATCTATTGTAGTTATAATTATTATTCTACATTCAGATTAATGTAATAGTTCATCAACTCTATGAGACTATCTTGCCTTCAACTTGATATTCTTAGAGAAACACACAATCTTGTTGATCATAAAATCATTTAAAAAAATTTTGATATTGTGTATTTTTTCGAAGCTATAAATGTTTATCAACTATTCCCACAGATTGCTGAAAGATTTGCACAGAAATTTTAAATTTTCACCACGTCAGAATATTTAAACAGAATGGATGATGTAATAGTCAAAAATATTACTTGGAAGGGAACTATAAATATGTCTCGTTATTTGTAAGGATATCTATTAACCATGGAATATCACATTAAGTCGCAGTATCGATATGGGTATGTTTAATATAACAGAATTGTTTTTGAGTATGCTCATGATCTTTATTTCAAATTAGGTAATGGTCAATAAAATAAGGCAAAGAATTGTTAACCCCATCTTCAAATAAATCTATAATAAAATAGTTTGGATATCAATTTATTTTCTTCTTACCCTGATTACAGTCACTAAGAAAATATTGCTTATTTGATGCATCTACTAAGCTTTTCAAATTTGTATTTTTATCAATCATTTTTTTATTGATGAAGAAGAAAGAATTAGCAACACAAATAGAATTTGGATTTCTCATGTACACTCAAATAAAATTTATCACCTGTCCACCATAAAAAAAAAAAAATCAAAAAAAAAAAAAAAAAAAAAAAAAAAAATCAAAAGTTTGTAAAAAAAGAAAACCCTTAAACTGTCATAATTTTCAAAGGTTATAATTTTCTGGATATAAGGCCTGTCATAATTTTCAAAAAAAAAAACAAAAAAAAAACAGAAATTGCTGTATATTGCATGAAAAATTATTCATTTAAAACCTACCAAATTTCGAATTTTTCTCAGAATATGTCAGGAGAGAGTAAATTTTTTAAAGTAATGTATTTTCATTGGAAATATACAACTGCATGAAATTTAAAAGCTCCAAGTCACGAAAACACAGAGTAAAACATTAATCAGCAGATTTCATCTATAATATACAGGAACAAATAAAGATCAATAAAAGAGTGAAAAAGAAGCCAACATTCTAAAACTTTACAACATAGAAGAAAAACATACATCTTTAAAAATACCTCTTTATCCCTTTACTTTCTATAGCAAAAAAAAAAAAAAAAAACATCAATTAATTATTATTTCTATGCTCTTTAAAGTTAGGTAGCTAAGTTCTGAAGTTATCATTTATTTTTCTGATTTTCTTCTCTTTCTTGTAATACACAATATTTATTGTTCTCAAATGAAACTTAACCTTTGAATACAAGAAAGATTTCCTTCAGCATAGGATTATTTTTTTATTAACAACTGGAAATTGAATCTTATGTTTACATTTAAAAAAAAAAAAAACATAACAGATTTTTAGAGGATTGTGGATTTTTAAGATTCTGCGTGAATTTTGAGTCTAATATAGCTTAAGGACACTAAAACTGAAACAATTATTTGAAATTGTGAGTGGGACTTAAGTTGGAGTGCAAGTAACATAAATCACCAAAAAGAATGAATATAAATATTTTAATAACATGTAATAATGTACAGAATATAGAATGCATAATTTAACTATCAAAAAATGTCAGTTTTTATCAGTATAATCTTCCAAAATGTCACTCATGTGTTGATTAAGCTTTTTAAAGTTTCTGTTTCTATTAGATTGCTTCTTTCTTTTTTGAACAGGAGTCTGAAACAAAGAAGTTCATAATTTAAAACAAGTCTAATATGACTGTATAAAAATGATAAAATCAACAGAATAGATAAATAATAAAATATAATTTTGTAATAATAGTCACATTATGAACTAGATTGAAATTTTTTATATACAATTTGATAATATTTGGTATCAGGATTCATGTGATGTCAAACTGTTCTAATATAAATCACTTAAAGTAATGATGATTGCGTAAAAGAGACTGCTTAGCAAGTCTATAATTGAAAGTGTAATTAATAAAACCTATTTATAAACATAACTTAGATATATGACATATCTAAAAAGTAAATAATCTAAGTTTGAAAAATTCACATAAAAATATAAACATACATTTCATTATTTTGTAAAAATAATGTTAAATGGTGCATTTTTTAATTTAAAGGATTAAAGTGACATAAGAGTATAAAAAATTAACTTAATACGTAAAATATTTTACTTACAACTTTCTTAACACCCATATCTTGCATGGATGTAATTCCTTGTTTTTGTAGATATTCTTCTATTTTTTCATCATCCAGACCATCAACAGCAACACTCCGCCAAAGTTTTTGAAATTCTAACATATATATAAATATATTCTTAAATATAGGATATAGGAAAAAAATAGAAACTTTTTTTTTATTGTAAACAGAAAATTACCTTCATGTAAAATTTAAAATCAATTTTTAAGTTATCAATTTTTATAACAAAGCAAAATAAAAACTATTTTTAGAAAAGATCTAAATGCAATTTATATGGCACACTTTAAAGACTGACAGAAGTATAAACTACTTATGTCTTAAAAACAAAAATTTCATTATGGTACTTATAACATAATTTTTCTTATGTGATTATTGCATCATTACACTTCTGGTCATTTTCTTTAGCAAAAGAAAAAAAAAATGTTTAGACTGCCATTTTGAGGGAAAAAAATTCAACTTAAAAGCAAAATGTATTATACCATCTTAATAATTGACATAATTAAAAACCACTTATCTTAAATAAATCTGAAATAAATTTATAAAGTTTCTTGATATCATTACATTTTAAATTATTTTTTTCACTTAAATAAAAACAACCAACAGCCATTTCTTAGAAACAAATAGCAATCCAAATGCAAAGTGAATGGTATTATTATTTGAAAGATTGACATGAGTACAGTAAAAAGTATTTAGTTCATAAAAATAAGGGTTATGTTTTTAAAATGAATTTTACTAAGCATCCATTAACTAATTATAATTTCTGTCACTTTTTCAACAAAGCAAAAAACCCATTTTTGCCATTTGAAGCAAGTGCATAGCACCATTTTAAACTGTGACACAAATAGAAACTTATCTTACAAATGGTTTCTATATTGATTACTGTTATTCATTCAAACAAGAAATACATCATACATTTTAAACACATTATTCAACAAATTATTAGCGTTGAGGAACTGCTTAATAATAGTAATAGTTTATAAGTAAAAGATTTAAAAATTAATGTTTGGAAAAATTTAGCCATGTGTCTTCTCATATATCTTTTTTTTAAAAAAAAATACACATAGATTGCTGATCAAAATTTATTTTTTTTATTATGTGTTTTAAACTATCTCTGACATAAAAATTTATGTTTGGAAAAATTTAGCATTGTGTCCCCTCCTAAATTAAAAAAAAAAAAAAAAACTAAACAGTCTCCTCATACTAAAATTTATTTTTTAGTATGGTCTTTTAATTCTCTCATACAAAAATTTGATTGAAACTGAAAAGGGTGCATTTCAGGAAATCAGCTATTGAAATTATTCAATTATGCTTATCAAAAATTGTACAATAGACATTTTTTACTAAATTTACAATGAACTTATTCAAGAGAAATTAAGTTTAAATGGCAGCTTTTTTTTTGTATCATGAAGAAAAGATAAAAAATATCAAGGCCCTAGGTCAAAATTATAACTTTACTTGTGAAAATTAGACAGACAGCATAAAAGCTGTTTCGGCTGTAACCTTTAACTTGTTTATTAATCTCAATAATATTAATCTTTTTGAAATTAACATAATAAATCTATAAGTTTACTAATTATTTAAATCTGAGAAGATGGATGCCAGTTCTCAAAAACTGTGTAAGATTTGAAACTAGAATGACTTTAGTAATATTATTTTCTCATCAAAATAAAAACTATTGACTGCTACTTTCACTTAAGTTCCACAATGGAAATTTGTGAATTTTTTTTTAAAGTGTCTATTGTATCATTAATACAAATTTTGGTCCCATGCCATTTTTAAAAACATTTACAACTCAGATAGAAAGGGCATGGTACTCTTTTGAAAATTGAGGCATATAAACTATATAATAAAAACATAGCCTCCATGATAATAAATTTGTGAAATAAATTTTTTAAGTATCTATTGTCTCATTAATACAATTTTTGGTCACTTGCCTTCTTAAAAACATTTACGACTAAGAAAGTAAGTGATACTAATATATAGGTTCCTTGATAATGAATTTGTGAAATAAATTTTTTAAGGCCAATTGTATTAATACATTTTTTTGTTGCTTTTTTATGAAATAAAAAACTACCTTTTTAATGCAACTTTTAGAAAAATTTACAATTTAAATGCAACATGTTTAACACCATCTAAAAGATTTCAGAGTCAATAACAATTTTAAATGCTGATACAGATTTCATGATATTGGATACAATAAATAATAAAAATTAATTTCTGTTAGTTTAAAAAACAATAACCACAAAATAATTATATTTACCTTCATCCACAGTAAACTGTGTTGATTTATCATTGTAAAATAAGACTTTTTTCTTATTCATAGGCTGAGTTATCTGAATAATATTATCACCTAAGCTCTGGTGGGAAAAAAAAAGATTGCAGTCATTATATTAAATTAACATTTTCATGCAGTTTAAAATGGTCTGTACACATCAGCAAAAATCAGTGTTGAAGAAGATATTTAAGTTTAATCATCAATTCATTAAAAGAAATTCTAAGCAAATTCATTACATCTTAATATGAGAAAATTAATCTTTTTGCATATTATTATGCAACGCATATTATTATATTCTAATTTTTTTAATTAAAAGGTAAAACAATTAAAAATAAAGAATTGTTTAAGAATTAATGCAATTTCAACCAATAGAGAATGTTGCTACAACATTAACTTTTTTCCTTTGTTAACTCAAGCTAACAAGAGTTCTACAGAGTGAAGAAACAATTTCTCAACAGGCAAGTTCATTACTTGGAAATCACAGGAAGAGTTCTCATGACAATAAGGAAATCATATAAAAAATATTCTCTACAGATAAAGAATTGGATACAACTTTTCTTTAACATAAAATCCCTGTGGCAGAATTTTTTCGGACTGCGACATGCCTCTCTAATGTCTCTAGAGTATCTTTCTGCAAGATACTTTAAAAAATAACAAATATGCATGTTACTAATTCAAAGTAACAGAAATGTCAACTTCAAAAAAAAAAAAAAAAAAAAAAAATTGGTTGGCATAACATATAATTTTTTTAATTGAATATGTAATCGAATAATTTTCTAATATTGTGGCCGATATTCTCGCATTTTGTAAGAGGAAAATACACTAATAATTTCAGTTTTCACATTTTGTAAATCAGCACATTAAAAAAATATATAATAGCAACGAATCAAAAAAAGATTGAAGGCAAAATCATGTGAATCGGATTCTTCGAAAAGGGGTTACTAAATGCGTGTTTTCATTTCGAAATTCAGTTGTTGTAATAAATAATATAAAATTAAAGATATAGGATTTTAAAAACTATGTGGACATTAATAGCAATAACTAAATAAAATACATAGAACAAAAATTTCTGCAGGAAAGAAAACCAATATTTTTTACTTCCCTAAGGGAAAATCTTTCTGCAAGAACTCGGTAACATTCTGCGCCAATGTCGCCACGATTCTGCCACGGGGTATAGAATAATGTTCAGCCATATTAAAATATTTTAAGTAGATATGCAGACTCAGAAAAAAAAGTTATTAATAAATTTTTTAATAACATTTATAAGGAATTTTTGCAGTGTATTTTTTTTTTGGGGGGGGGGTAAACATAACTTAAAATAAAGTTTATTAGTTGAACATACAATTATTATTAATAAAAGAAGGATATAAAACCAATTCAAATTTAATGTTAATGCAAAAGATAAAGTTTAATAATTTACCACATTTTTAGCAACAATTACATTCTTGTCACTGAAAACTAATGAAGCAGAAAAATATTTATGTATTTGTGAAACTAAAAGATGGTTCATTAGGAATAAAGCTATAATGGTATTAATAAAATTTTTCTACGTTTCCTCAGTAAAAGTACTCTTAGTTTTTAAGTGAGTATTAATACATACTCAGTTGTAATATTCTTAGTGGTATATCGTACTAAATTTTAATAAAATTCATAAATGCAGAATGAAGCAATTTTCAATAATTAATGAATATTTAAAATTTATTAAGCAGAATTCAATAATTAAAAGTGAAAATAGGTGACAAAATTCAACGAATCTACAATATACAACGTGTTAAAAAAAGTAATAATTTTTTTTATGATTTTACCTTTAATGCTTTTTCAACATTAGGAATTGATTCTTCAATATCATCTAAGGAAATGCCTCCCAATCCTCTTTGATCATGCTTATCCAGAAGTTTCAAAAGTCCTCGTTTATCTTTAATATTATAAGGTGGCTTGAAAAGGTATTTACCTTCAGCATTAACTTGCAGCTTAGGATTGTTTTGTAAGGCCTTAAAGAAATTACAAAAAAGTCTTAAAAATAATTTTGCAATACATGCTCCTTAAAAGAATGAACTAAAGAAATTATTGAACTAAAAATCAATGGAAGTTTTAAATCATTAAGTTGTATAAATGAACAATGAAAGGAATTGAAATAATTTCACAATTTTCAGCATTTTATTGGTCATTTGTGCACAGGTAAGAACACACAAAATACCAAAAAGAGAAAAATATTTAATAGATAATTGCAAATACAGAATTCTAACTCTTTCTCCTTTTGTCTAAAATAAGTTCAAAATATCATTTAAAATGAAATTCATTCCAGCAACTTTGATAAATAAAAGTCAAAGTTGAAATAATTTTTTGTTGGTTAAAAACATAACACTCACAGTTCTTGCTAAATAATCGTTTGTACAGGACTATTGGATAAGAAATTCTTAAAATTAATAGATTTTTTTCCAAATTAAAACCAATTTAGTGTAAAAAAATCTGAATGAATAAAAGCTAGTCATAATTAATCACTAATTATTTATTACCTCTCTAAATATTTAGCTATTAATATTATAATATTTACTCTACAAAACCACATACTTTTTATTTTATTATATAGGATAAACACTCGTTTTCGGTACAGGGTAAAAAAAAAGATAAAATAATAATCAATGAACCAGTATTAATCATGACCATGAAAATATGTGCAAAATTGAAACACATGTATCAACACTGTTCATAAAGATTAAAATTCCTAATTTTTAAAAATTTATTATTATTATCATTTGTTGCCTTTCCCTGTGACTTTATGTTATTGCAAAAAGCAAAACACCTTTACACATGTTCATCCCATCAAAATACAGATTACCTACATAATACTATTATTCAATAAATAATATTATATTTAAAAATTTATACTTCATTCATCAACCAATTTTTCTGACGAATTCCTATATCTAGCTGATTAGTTTCATCGAGAATTTCTTCAAGGCTGAGAGGGTAAGTATCACCACTTAAATGTCTTGTCTAAAAAAAGAGAATGAAAAATATAAAAATTTTAAAGCAGACTTTTAACTGACTAAAGAGTGAAAAATGCAAGATAAAAATAAAATTTCAAGATACAACAAACGTTACAAGCCAGAAACTTATCAGAAGCTATTAAATATAAAAAATAAGAAAAATTTAAAAATTAGAATATACAATTGAAATGAAAAATAAAGCAAAATCACCTTTGAGAAATAATAAAATGTTGAGCAGTTTAAGAGTAGAATAAAATAGCTTACTTTCATATGCTTCACAATCTTAGCAAGTATTCCAAAATTGTTTTGTGAACTTCCACCATAGGTTTTATAGTTAAAATCTGAAAAAGAAGGAGAGAGAAAAAAGGAAACATTAGTAAAATAAAAATCCAAAATAGTAACAAAATATTCAAAAAAGCAAATTAAAACAAAAATATTATTTAAAAAAAAATTTGAATTTTTTGTATGCTTAATTCTTTGTATGATAGAAAACTTAGATACCTTTTTGCTGTCGAGGTTGAGGAGCTGACTTCTGCTTTTTCTTTGGTGGTGGATCACCAGTATCTTTCTTTTTGTTTTCAACAACTGGATTGGAGAGAGCTCGTTTCTTAAAAGCTTCTCTCTCTCTTAACAAGGCAGGGTCCATTTTTACAACAAAAATAGTTTTCAAAATCCTAAAATTTAAAAGTCATATAATATTACTTTTAACATTGCTTCCTAATTTATAATTTTTGCCATTTTATGCATCAACACTGAATAGAAATAAACTTAAATAAAATATTCCATATATTTCCTTTCACTTAAACATTAGTTAAAATAAGTTAATTAGTTTCACTTATACATTAGTTATTAAACATAAATTTACATAAGGCTGGCAAAATTTTCTTTTAACTGTGAATCATATATAAGCATTTTAAATTTCTTTTCTGTGCATTCTGATAAATGGTAAGTTACAGGCCATTCTAATAACTTGAAATATTACATTTTTTAAAGCCATTAAAATTAGATAGTTTAAACAGATATGTTAACATTATTGTAAACTGTGCAAGAACTCAAGAAGAGGATACTTTTTAAATTAAATGAAAAAAAAAAAAAAAAAAAAAAAAAAAAAACATACTTCAGTCTTTGGAAAAATAAACTTTGACAGAACTTTTAAGCGACTTGTTTTTACACATAATTTGTTTTATTTGATTAATTTTTAAAAATATATCTTCACTTGTTTTGTTAAATAAAAATCAAAACTGGTAAATTTGATCTGAATCCTAAAGTTTCTACATTTTTTTTTAAAGAAAATTAATTATTTTTAAGAATAGCAACTTTAAGTGGAAAACAAATTATATATCTTTTTATTAACGAAAAATTCAGAAGTTGAAAAAAACATAAAATGGAATATAAGTAACAATAATAAATAAATTAGACAAAAAAAAAAAAAAAAACAGGAAAAAGATGTAGATGTTGAAAGAAAATCATTTTACCAGCAGAGTACTATGAAGAAATAAAATTCTTTCATTTGAATTATTAATTCGAAATATTAATATTCAAAATATTAATATTCAAAATATTAATTAATAATATTTTGAATAATTAATTTGAAAATTAGTTGAGAACATAGAGTTTCATTTTCAATGCTTTCATAGAAGATCATTGAACAAAAAATGTATTAGAAAAAAAAAATAATCCAGGAACAGCTAAATTGTGAGAAGCACACAATAATCAGTGCAAATATTCCTTTTGATTAAACTCAAACTGCAAAAAAGTGAAGCAGTTGTCAAGTTCTGATAGTGAGGCAACTTGTAATTTGCCAATCCTAAAAAAAGGAATTTTTTCAAAAACTGTGTAAAATAAAATAAAGGATGCTCCCCCAAACAGTTTAAATACTGTAATGTATAAAAAATAAAACAAAGAAAGAATAAAAGCAAGTGTACTTTAGCAGAGCTGAAGCATTTTAGCTTTATAGCAATTACATTGATCTGGAATCAACAACCTTAAAAAATATCGACAAAGTAGAACTTTTAAGAACTGAAAAAAAGCACTACATTGGTGATTAAAAAATGAATGGAAAAATGATATTTTTTTATTTGATCTAGGAAGTACGAGCATTAGTGCAAATAAAATTATTATTTAAAAATACTATTACAATAGATCACGCGCAGTGCCATTACTCAATATATTTTTAAAACAGCAAGGGGGACAAAAATACATATAATATTTAGTAAAATATTTACAAATAAAATACATTTAATCGACAGTAATAAGGACAAAATAATTAATGATAATAATGTTGCCTTACACAATATTTCAGCTTTAAAAAAAGCTTAAAAGGATAAGTCTTGCAGATAATCTTTTTTTCTACACCCTAAGTCTATTTTTCAGGTATTTTTGGCTTCATTTAAACAAAAAATTGTAAAAACATACAACAACGTCGATGAAAATTGGAAAATAAACAAAACATTGTCATTTTGTACGGTTACAGTTTACTAACAAAAAAGGTGAGGTGGCCGAGAGGCGCTAAAATGTTAACTTAAATCAGATGGTTCAAAAGCATGCTTGAAATGTTCTAAAACACAGAAAGAAGTACACAGAATTTTTCTTATTTTTATTTTTCAATTTCTTCATCCGGAATCGAATTTTGCTCTTGCTCTTCCTTAGTCCACTGCATTGCAGATAAAAATGCATCGCATGAAGAGGAGAAAATATAAATTAATTATTTGTATGAAAGATGTGACAAAATAAATAAAGTTGAAATGCCATGTAGGTCGAGAGATTGTTTCGTTTTCCTTTTTATTTTAATAAATCGTGAATTGTTTTCCGTATATTAATAGTTCACACTCTCTTTTATTTAGAGATGTCAAATACAATAATATCTGAAAATGGGAACTAGAGCTGCGGCATGTAAGTGATTTTATATTATTTTATGAATTAAAGAATTAATTTCATATTATCTTATGAATTAAAGAGAAGTTGGACTTTTTTGATTTTTATAATAAATGATGTTGAATACTGTTTAATCTTTTTTTGTTCAAATGAGGTTTATGATGTTCCATATGTTTTTAATCTTTTCAAAATATTATAAAAATCATTGTTAGTATTCCTAATTTTAAAATAAGATGCATCTTATCTGATAGTTACATGATCCACATAATCAGCTGTTTTTAGATACAGGAAGCATGGAAAAGTTAAAAACATGTACCTTATCTTGCAGATATGCACTGGGGCCCTCTTATTCATTGAAAATTATTCTTGCGGCTTATTGTTGTTATAATTATTCATAACTCATACTTATGGTTTTAAGAAAATCTTACATGGTGTACATGTTATGGAATATTATTATATACATATTTTAACTAACATTGATTTTTAATGTTGCAATATTTTGTTCAAAAATTTCTGCTCAGATGCATTTTAACTGACGTAAAATCTTTCCCATGTATTATTCAACCGACAAAATACATCCCTTTGCGTACAATTATTTCTTGTTTTTGCGGATGATAAATTTTTCTTATGATTATTTATTTTTGAAAAACAGCAACTTCAAATAAAAAGTTTTCTAACATAGGGCAGAACAGACAAAAAAGTTTAATCGGTTTTAATCATAAAAGAAGAATAGAGATATTCCCTCCTTTTTTTTCTTCTTAAGTTTGTTTGATGCGAAATCTACGAATTGAATTATTTGAAAAGTCAATCGTCAAAGGATTATTTACTTTTCAAAAGTTGAATGGATTCAGAGGGAGCCCTATGTTGCAGAATCGACCTAATATTAATTTTTATTGCTGCAATATCTTGCTCAATAGATATCTGCTCAGATGTATTTGACTGAGATAGAATCTCTCTAATGATGTTACAATAGGCAAAGTATCCTTTTGTTAATACCTTCCTTCGCTTGCAGAAAAAATAATTCATCGTAGTAATAACTGTTAAAAATAATTCTTACCACAACAAATAAAAAATTTTCCACCATAGATAAAAAAGACTCTCTTGTTTGATCATTTTGTTGACTCTTCGGATAGTGTCCTAATTTAAGTTTTCTTCGCAATCTAACTATGTTTAATAATTCATTTTAAAATTTTATATTAAATCATTTTTAAAGTTTCTCTTATAAAAAAATCTAAATTTTTTTTTGTAATTAGTCATAAAAATATTTTAACTTCGTATTATGAAGAAAAATTTCCTATTTAACTCTAGATTTATATTTAGAAAATAATTTTTACACACTTATATATGAATAGTTAAAAACTTTTATTAAAATGACATTCATTATACTCTATTTTAGTAGGGTTTTAAAATTAATTACAAAAATATTTCTGTAAAATTAATATTTTGAATAAAAATTTTACACATTTAAATCTAAGATCAAATTTAGAAAGTTGGTTTCCTGATTAAATTTCATAGTTAAAAATTTTAATAGTAAAATAAAATTCCTTATTTTACTTTTATAATTTTTGTTATATTATTACGAACAGGAAATAGTTATCTTAATTACAAGTTTATTGCATTGATTAAATTAGTTTATTAATTGATTAGTTTATTGATTGATTGTAGTGTCTTGTTCAAAATAAGCTTTTTTAATGTATTTTTTAATTTTTAAAATTTATTTCCCTAGTCACTGCAAAGATCCACAACTTGCAGCATTACAGTGGGAGAATCAAGCATAACTTACTTCCTCTGCCGTCTGGGGATGATGTTGCTAACACTCTGAAGTATTTCTCCCAGACGCTTCTGAGGTTATTTTATTTATTTATTTTTTTCAGATTTATAAAACGAGCCTTTAATATAAATTTGAACTACTTAAACTTAATATTTGCATTCGATTGTTATTGTTAAGTTAATCCAAGGAACTTAACAATATTAAAAAAAGTTGAAGTGCTACTTACTATGACATAAATAACATAGTTTAACAACATTATATTTTTATTATTTAATTACATTGTTCTTCTGCTTTCTGTACCCAACAAAGCGCTTTGTATTTAGACTGGTTTGCGTGAAATTTTCTCTTCAGTAGAGAAGTTCCTTCTTGAGTAACAAGGGAAAAAATTTGCTCTTTGGGATAAGAAAAGAATGGGTAAAAGGATGATATTAGTAGCTTAGAATGATATTATTAGAGTTAAAGGCCTTGAAGCTTAATTTTTATAAATTTCTTGGGGAGTTCATCTGTGTAATTTTTTTTTTCCTTATTAATACTTACTTAATTTGTACTAACTTAAATATGCTGTATGTTTTTAATATGTATCCAGGAAACAGATAAAGTATAAAACCTAATTTGTGATAAATTTTATAATAAATTTTTAAATGATACAATTTTAAATACATTCTCAGACATCACAAGTTCAGCTCCTTCGTTAAATAAATCAGGGAATTTTAAATGGAGTGGCGTTCTTCCTAAATGTAATACAGGTCATCTAATTATCTCAGTAATTTCTTAAAGTATCAATTCATTTATGATTTTAGTTTAATAAATTTTTCCAATTTTCTTTAGCACAGGAGTTTGCAAAGTTTACTTGCCAATCAATGTTAGGAATAATTATGAAGAATTTTTAATTTTAAATCTTTTTGTTAAAATTTAATAATTTTAAAGTGTATTTAATTTTATTAAATTTTAAATTTATTTAATTTTAAAATGTTGTTTTTAATGGTAATTTCTTGAATTGAAATACCTTGAGTTAAACTAATTCCCTGATTAAACTAATGTTTATCCAAACTTGCCAAATTAAGTATAATTTTTTTTTTTTCATTTCTTGAGATATGAGATAATTGCAAATATTAGGAAAATAATTTATTGTAGTAATTATATTGGGAATAATAGACCTACTGTAAGACGTTGGTTTTTAAGTAAATACAGCTTTTAGGACAGTTAAGTAGATTTAATCATCCTGTTTTGTTATTAATTTTTGTTACATCCTTTTTCTTTTAGTTTACACACAAGACATAATTTTTAACCTTTGGTTTTGCATTATTTTGAGTAAAAAAATATGTTTAGGTGATTAACAGTATAGATTTTTTTTGGCTCTGTGTTATAAAAATTTAGATTCAGCTCCAGAAATAAAACTTAACTTATCTTAGCATTTAATTTCTAAACAATTTGTTTTATATACATTACTGATTTCAAAGTAATTTGTATACAAACTTTAATGTAGTGTAAAATGCGTTTTTAAAATGCAACTTACAAAAAATAAAAATTGTCAGAAAAGAGGGGAACTTCAGTTCTAAATTAAATGAACTATAAATTAAACTAATGGGTTGAAATTTGAGACAGTGTTAAATGTTGCTTTATCTACCACTACTTTAAATGCTATAAGCAAATTAGTTAGTGGTATATGTTTTTTTTTAACTAATCTATTTTTTCAATTTTAGTGTTTTAAAAGATGTGCCAAGCATATCTTTTGACCTGCTGCGGTCCCCAGAGAAAGATGCATATCGTACTTCCCTTTTCCCTAGCTTAGATTACAAAACTCTTCATCATGCCCTTGTTGAGCTAGTCGACGCTGTGCCTCTGGTCCAACATGGGGCACATGGTACTTTTTTTTAACCTTATTTCACTTTAATTTTGACTAATATGTTAATTATTTGCGTTACGTGTAAATTAACCTTTGTTAAATTAATTCCTTTGAGTTATGTGTGCAAAGAAAAAAAAAGATATTGAAATGTAGTTTCTATAATTAAATTGCTAAATTGTAGTAATTGACTTATAATCTCAATATGCTCTAGTATCTATAGAGTATAGGGCAAAATTAAGAAATTTTGCTACTGGCCAATGAATAGTTGTGGCATTTTTAAAGCATGTGGCCATTTTTTCAAAAATTGAAAATTTTATAGATAAAAAAAATTTGATATTATTAATGTGAGATGTTTCTTTTTAACTATTTCTTAAATTATAGTTTAAATTACAAGGTTTATTTATGAAAAAAAAGAAAAATTTTATAAAAAAAGCATTAAAAAAGAATTTTCAGACTATCATAAAATATTCATAAAAATTTCATATTTATTAAAAAAAATTTAATGAGGAAAAGCACATAGGGTACATTTTCAACAAAAATTTTTAATTGCTATTTGTTTTATTTAATCGCATTGTGGTAACTGTTAATTTAGCCTTATACTGTACTGTTTTTTTTTGTGCTCTCAAATTAATTTTTTAAACTGTTATATTAATGGACAATTTCATTTCTTAAAATCCCATTGTACTCAAATGAGTGCAAATGCAGCTGTATAAAATTTGTAAAACAATATTCTTGTAGTAGATGTAAAATAAATTATATTTTATATATGAAACAATTGTAAAACTGATTTTATATAACAATCATCTTTCCTGAGAATTATAAATTATTTCTTATGAAATCAAAAATTATAAATAGATTAACTCAAACTATATACATATGATATGTGAATGTAAAATTATCCCTTTATTGTGTTTGTGTCCAACAATATTTCTGCAAACAAATATATACCTTCAATTAAATGAAGTTTTTGTTATGTTTACTATTGCTATAATAAACATATAAAAATCTTTATTTAACAGATAAAAGTCTTTATTTATCTTTTTAAATTCAGAATCAAGTTTCATTCTGTCAGTTGATTATTAGCAATTTTTGTCTTTCTCAGAATAATAAATCTTTTTTTTTTTCAATATCCAGTTAAAATATTTCTGTTTACAAAGTTCGGTTAAATAGAAATCAACTATTATTAGTTAGCTTTTTTAATTTTATTAGAAATTTCGTATTTATCCCCTTTCTATTTTTTACTATTTAATTTATTAATACCCTTAAAATTTTTTGTAGCCCTTGGATATACCATTCTTCATACCTTAGCCTGTTTAGTACCATTTCTTGAACATGAACTCATGGATACACTTCCATACCTAGTTGCTTCAACCATGACCACTTTTCCATGTTCTCTCCATAAAGATATTATTGATGTTCTCTGCAACCATCTCCTCCCATTCACTTTCAGTAAGAAATCTGATAATTGAGAGATCTTATTATATTTATATTAAAATTTATTCTTACATTTTGTTTTCATGTAGGAGCAGATCCAAAAGAAAACAGTGAAAGTTATGCTAGTATGTCCACTGCTGCTGTATTAATGGTTATCTTTCAATATACGGATTGTAATGGTAAAAGTTATTTCTTTGATTTTAACGCAGTTTTAATTTAAGGTTTTTTAATTTGTAGGATATTTAAGCAATATATTTCGAAATCTTTAGTTTTATTTTACATTAAAAAAATTTCACAGTCCTAATAGTTATTTTTTTAAATTGATTTTTATACAACTAGTTGCCTTAGGTGGCCACTTTGGTCACTGAATGCAACTTTAACTAATAATATTGAGCAAACTCTTAATAATTATGAAAAGTTTAAATGCATTACCCTGAGACAAAACTCCTTTCTTGGAGCATGCAAGAGAGAGAGTCAGAATTCATAAAAGGAGAATCCATGCATGCAGAATTCATGCATATCATCACCATCATAGTTGGTCAGACTGCCAAATGAAGTCCAATGGCTTCCTTTGAAGATTTCTCCATAAAAATTTCATATTAAATCCACTCATATATTCATACTTTATATTGACTTGAAATTTTGGATTTGAAGAAAAAAAGTTTTCTATGATTCACTTTATACATTCATATGGCTACATTTTTGGCCATTTAGTTAAGAAAATCTCTCTACATGTATTTTTGTTGCAGCACATCAGCTTTACACACTCGATTTAGAGTGTGTTCACTTCATTTTAAGGAAAATTCATTTCTTTCAAGCAAGCATAAGCTATTAACAAAAGATGCTTACCACGTGCCAAAGGAAAAAAATGAAATTCTAACACTATTTTGAAAGCTCTGAAGGCAGTATGGAAGCAGGCTGCTCTTTGTAAGAAGAAAGTGCCTTGTCCGTAAGGCAGCAAAGAACTTATCAGTATCAAATTAAGAAGTATCAAATTACATGCTCTAGCTGAAAAAAATTTTATTTTTATTTCTGTGTTTTAGTTTGAATGATTTTTTTGTGCGTCTTTTTTTATGTTTTGATTTTTGTGCTTGGAAAGTAAACTAATAAATTTTGACTGAAAGAAATTTTGTTAAAATAATTCAATCCAGTAACTTTTATGGTTTAGTCTTTTATTAAGATTTTAAATGTAGACAAAAATAAGATAAACAATTGACCTTTAGTTTTTTTGAAAGCTGTATTGTATTTTTTATTTCTGAATAAGTAATCTTTTTGGTATTACATCACATATTTCACTAGAAAGTTTTAGACTTTATCCAAAACTATATCCTTTTATTTTTTAAAAAATTAAATTGTTATAAGTATATATTTATTATATATATTTATTATTTTTTCTAGCTTTTATTAATTTTCATTATTAGGTTTAGGATAATTTAAATTAAAAATTTAATTGAAAATTTCATTTTGCTAAAATTATAAATATTTATACTATACTTTTGATTCTTTACTCTTACTATACTTTTGATTCTTTACTCTTATAAATAATTTTTACCTTTTTATTTTGTGATAGCTTTTCATTGTCAAGTTTTGGAATGCCTCATGAGTTTAAAAAAAGATATTGTTAAGGTAAGTATTTTGATTGATATATCTTGTATTACATCATATCTTGTAATTATATATCTTGTATTAATTTCATCTTTTAGGTTTCCTTTTTAAAAAAACTCTACTTTTTAATTATTCACCCTACATTTCTAAAATTTGAAACATATTTATTAGATTCTTTTTTTTATTCTTTTTTTCCCTATGCACGTCATTATTGAGTTTTTAAAGCTGGAAATATATCTTATTTTTAAAAAAGTATAATGTATTTTTCTGTCAACATATTACTATTTTTTTAAATTATTAATTTTGCTAATCTTAAATATTTAATCGCTAATACCAAGCTGAGAAGTGGAAATCTCACACCCTGTTATAAAGAATCATAAATTTTTTTTTCAGAAATAGTACTCTTCATATCTACGTAAAATTCTGTTTTAATAATTATTCATTATTCTGTGTTTAATAATAATCAGTCATTCTGTTTTAATAATTATCATATCAATTCTCAAAGTATTTAAAATTAAATATATTCTTCAAATCTAAAAATATTTTTCTTCAAATATTATTTTTTCAAATAACACACATCTCCAGTTAAAAAGTTAAATTTTTATTATTTATAAAAGTTTTTTTTAAAAATATTATAAATGACTAAGTTATTTATTAAATGAATGTTTTTTTCAAGGAGGTAAAATGACTTCTATAATGACAACTATAAATTTATATCTGTACAAAGTTTTCACTGTCTTAAATTTAAAAATTTTTGAATTAACTAAAAAAAATTTTTATAGTTTAAAACTTCCCGAGAATCGCTGCAACAAAAGGAAAGGATATTTTACTGCGTATTGGAATATTTGCACAGTGAAAATGTATTTGGAATGTTTTTAATCAGTTTCAATATTAACATTGTAATCAGTATGAAACATGAGAATAATACTTTACCAGGTAATAAATAATATCATGATATGTAATATATATGCAGTATTATCATGAAAGGCCTTCTGTAGTTTCAAGACTTTTTTTTAAAATGGTGCATTGTTTATGCAACATTGTTTTAAACTTGAATTTAGGAGAAAATTTCTTTTACATTTAAAATATAATTATGAAATCATAAAAAAATAAGTAAAACATAATTTTTAAATGAATCTTGATTTATGATAAGCTTTAGCTGGATGTTATCCAACGGTAAAAGAACACTTTAGAAGACTGCATCAATAAAAGGATGCTAGATGATTTTGTTACTTTCTTTAACATTACTGGAAAATGGTTTTGTCTATGATATTTATCTTTATGTACTTTTATGACTTTATTATAGTTTAAAAATTCTTTATTTTTTATGTTATAATATTTAAATTCTCTTTATAATTTTAAGGATCTTCTTTGTGTCATTGCTCACGGGACAGCCAAGGCACGGTGCCATGCAGTAGAGCTACTCTTTCAGTACCTCCCAACTCTTAATCCAGCGCTTTTGGACCGGAAAGGAATTGGTAATAAGCTTAATGGTTGGTTCATTTGAATTCTGAATGTCGTGGTGTGGTGTTTGTGTATGTGAAACTCCACGAAAAGGCTTCTCTTTAAAACTCTCTCCTTTTATCTATGTCTATTTATTTATCTTTAAAATTAAGAACAATTAATAAAAGAAATTTATAATGTGTCTATTATGGACTAATTGAGCTAACATGTTTTTTGATGTAACAAATATTACTTTATGTAGGTATTATGTATTTGTCTTTTTAAAATTTCATAATCCAAGTATAACCTAGATTTCATTTCTCTTATATCTAAAAGGAATTACTTGATACACATCTTTTGAACTATTAAATAATCAGCAATGTATCTTGTAAATTCAAAATGCTATTCATTCAGTAAAACTAATTTTTTTAAAATCTTATATTGAATTTCTTGCTTTAATGTAACAGATTGTTTGTTAAAACTACTGATTAAGGATATTTTGCAACAATAATTTCTTGCAATATTTATTGAAATAAAATACTTTTAAGATTTAATTTTATTTGACAATTACAATAAATATAATAAATTTATATTCATTATATTTAGACTGGGATTCCATCTTTTTACTATTGCATTTACTTCTTGAGAACGTCATTCTTTCTAAAGGACTTAGGTGTTCTTTTTTTCCGACAGTTTATTATTTAAGGTATGAATTCTTGCGCCACAGGGATAATCATTAACAGCAAATGAGCTGAAATTTTTTAAATGTTTACAATATGCAGTTAACTTCTGCTTTGGGGGTTAAACTGTAATTGTAATTTAACGATTTTGTGCAACTTTTTAATTTACAAATGTTTCTTTTCTTGCAAATGTTTCTGAATAATATGCTTCTTTATTTCTCCAAGATACTCTTGTTGAGTTTTAATCGCCTTACACTAGGATTTTTAAAAACAAATGTTAGGCAAAGTTAGGAAACGAGTTAGGATAATTTTTAAAAACAAAGAAAATAAAGTTTAGAAATTTTCCTACATATTTATGTAGTTATTATTTTAGATTTGCCATTATTAATGGTATTAATACGTCTTTTAATATTTAATTTCACTAGTTGCTTCATAACTTTCAACGTAAGTATTAAATAATGTCCAAGAAACTAGAAGAGCTTTATTTCTTACAAACTGATTAAAAATAGCATATTGATGTATAAAAATACATGATATTAAAAAGTTTTTTTACTTTTTGTATTTTTTTTTAAATATAATTTTGTTTTATGAAATATTTCTATTGATCACACCCAATTCTATTTTTACAAGATTTTTGTTTTGAAAATTTTGATGTTAATTAATATTTTCTGTTTTGGAAATTCTATTTGAAATTGATATTAAGGCATATAAAAACTTTTAATCTTAATTATTCAAAATATTTTTTCACCAATTCTCATTTTTGTCTTATTAAATATTATGAATATTTTTGCAATAAGATTTGATATTTATAACATAATGATATTGTTCAAATTTTTTATAGTTGATTTTTTCGGATTTAACATCTTGTGATTTCTCTTAGATTGAGACTTGTTTTTAATAATTTTTATTTTGAAATCAGCTCGTAGATATCTGAGTGAAATATTTTGCAGTTCAAGCTTAATTGTTTTTATTTTTTAAAGTAGCCTTATAATTTTTGAATTTTAGTTTTGTATGATCTGCCATTTTTTTGGATTTTCTTGTATAGTATGACATAGCATACAAGAGTGCATCAGTATGCATATTCTGAGCTTTTTGTGATAGCAGTCGTGCTCCCCTATATGAATTGTGCTAAATTATTTTGCTATTGTTATGCATTTCCCTGACGCAAATTGTAGAATTATAGTGTTGTGAATTGTTCAGTGTTTCTTTTGCATCAAGTTGTGATGTGTTGTGTATTGTGCACTTTATTTTCATGCCCTCTTTCAGTAAAAATATATTGAATAAATGAAGCATTAGATTCAGAAGGTTCAGCAAACTTCAGTTTATCATTATTTTCATCTCCAAATTAAAAACTGCTGGAATTTTTTCTTTTATTTAATAAAATGTTTATATAATCAATATTTGCATATTCTTTCACAGAAATATAATTTTTCTCTTTTAGTCAGTAAGGTCACTATGGATCAACAAATTTTATTAACACTTGTCTGGCTTTTGTTTTCTCTGTTATCTATCTTATTTTAACGAAAATCTTCTATTCTGTTTTATCAATATATATTATCTATATCTATAATTGTTCTTCGTAAAAATATTTCAAGCTCATTTTCATTCTATTACAAAGTTAGAACTATTTTCAGTTTTTTAATGTATTCTTAAATGAAAATAATTGTTTCAAATCAAACAACTAATTATTTGCATTTTGTGAAGTTTAATGATTTCTTTAAAACACAAAGGTATCGTTTTATGCACAAAATATTGGAATTTATATCTTAATATTTTCTTTGTGAAGATCAGTGATTTCTTTTTTAAAAATATCAAAATATTAATATCTGAAACATCCAAGTTTTTTTAGAATACATTTTTATTTAATTATTGTTTGAAAAGAACCTGAGTGTTAAAAATAATTTCATTCTCTTGTAATTAAACTATCAAAATTATCTTTATTATGATTTTTTTTAAATATACCTTTTTCCCCCACCATATTGATTTATTTCACTTCTTTGTTATTGCTTTATAAATTTAAAATAGTTTTTTGTTTGTTGTATATTATCATAGTTAGCCAAAAATAGAAAGCACTAGTTTTATTAAGCTAATCTATCATGGTTAATTTTATGCTATGAAAGAGACTTAAATGTCATGTTTTAACTATGGTACATTAAGAAAAACTATTATTTTTAAAAAAAATTTTCATCGTCTATATCATACAACTTTGAAATAATTAGAAAAACAAGTGCAGTTTTGCCGAATTTCTTGTTTTAAAGTTTAATTATTTTCATTTTTGTACAGAAGATAAAATTTTTCATTAATCTAAAATACAATGTTTTACAAAAGCTTATTTGTAATATTTATTTGTATTATAGTTAGAAATGTTTTTCAACGTTATATATTTAATTACATTTCATTAATAAAATTTGTAACTTGTAATTCATAAATTTTTTTTAACATTAATTATAATAAATAAATTTTAAAATTAAAAACTAAAAATTCAAATAATCAAAGATAAATTTTTGCATTTTAGTTTTTTTATGTGCTCATTAAATCATCGTAATGCCACTTATGTGTGTTTTTGACACTTGTCATGAGCATAAAATGCAATGAACTTCCATAAAATCTAGATTATTTTGCTATGTTGAGTCTCATAGCAAAATTATTTATTTTAACAAGTGCAGTTTTGTTAAAATTGCAGTTTTGTTCTCAATTTATTTATTTTAACATTAATTATAATAAATAAATTTTAAAATTAAATACTAAAAATTCAAATAATCAAAGATAAATTTTTGCATTTTAGTTTTTTTATGTGCTCATTAAATCATGGTAATGCCACTTATGTGTGTTTTTGACACTTGTCATGAGCATAAAATGCAATGAACTTCCATAAAATCTAGATTATTTTGCTATGTTGAGTCTCATAAATGCAATTTCAATATAAAAAGATTTACTTCATTCTTTTCTTAGTTAATAAAAATAATTTTCATTTTTTAACTTTTCCTTTTTAAGTATGTGAATTTTATTTTTAAAATATTCCATTTCAAGACATTCTAAGTTATATATATATTTTGTGTAATACTGTATAGTGATTCTGATATCATAAAATGAATTATCTTAAACTGTTTAAAAAATGCCTAAAAATTAAAGTATTAGTCATTATAGTCTCATATCATTATAGTCATAGTCTTATTAGTCATATTTAATTCTTTTTTTTTATTTATTTTGGACTTCATAGGTGAATTTTTTTATACAACGTTCACTGAAATATGGTATTTTAATTTAAAGTTTAAATATTTAAAAAAAAATTATGTGTCTAAATTATATTAGAAGGAAAAGAGATCAAATTTATCTGAAAGTATAAGTGCCACAAATAAATTTATTGCAAAAATATTTCAGAACTATGAATTCATTCATAGTTGCATTTTAAAAAATTATGAAATTTTTTTAAATCTACATTTTTTTTATTAAATTGTTATGAATGCATTAAAACTTATGTAACCTCATTAGGATTAGATGGATAGTTTTAAAATTAAGTTGTACGCATTTAAAAGCTTTCTAAAAAATGTAATGTTACTTGACCAGAAACTTTTTAATAACTCTAGTCATCTGTCTTTTTGTGATCTCTTTATAGATCTAACTTTTGAATATGATTCTTTTTTAAAATTCTGTGTAAATGGATTCTCTATTACAATGATTAAATTCAATGATTCCTTATTAAGCATGCATAATGCAAGTATTTTGTATATTTATTTCATAGTATATATTTCTTTTTGGTGAAAAAAAATTATTTGAGCCTATAAGATATTGTTAAAAATTAGTTTATCTTATTGTACCATAATATTTCTTTTAACCAAGTTGTTCTTTCATAACTAGCTTCCTTGTAAAAAAATTTTACTCTTGCCATTTTCTCTTTTTTTATATATATATATTTTATAGAATGTTCATGGATGCTTTTAAGACATGTGTGGTGTTCATTGTAATTCAAAACATAATTTTGGACATTTTAGTTCAGAGTATATTTAGAAATTTTGTGTTTTTTTTTTTTACGACATGATCTAAGCTGACAGTTTCCCCCTTCTTTCATTTCCATCTCAGTTAGTTTACACTTTCTGGAATGTAAAGATTTGAGGCTCTGGTGCATATTTCTTCTTTAGTGATAAGTTTTCTTACAATGATGTTTACCCTTTGATTCAAAGTACATTGGTAACATAATTATTTTGTTTAGGTCTTTTATACTTCTATTTATGGTTATATTTTCACTGCCCGTTATCATTAAAAATTTATATGTAGTTCTGTTAATATCTGCATTCATCATTTTAAAATGTATCAAAGTGATGAAATCATTCTAATTGATTGAAATTTACTACATATATAACTATATACTACATGATAACTATTTACTACATATATAACTATAATATATATTTATGACTAAATTTATCTAGTGATAAAATTTCAATAAGTATTTGTGAAACGTTAGCCCATAGAGAGCTTTACATATTTCATTGTCTAGATTACAAAATATTTGGGAAGCATTACATTAAAACAGAATTAAAAGTAATACATAGAAAATCATTTCAGAAATACAATTCTGAACTGCTATCAAGCTACTATCAACTAATTTAGTGAGTAGTTCAATTAAGTTGTTTATTAATAAGTATTATTCTTAAATTCCATTTTTGCTTGGTTATAGGAAAATAGAAATTCAACCTAGCTTTCCATTGAAAAGAGATATAACTATTTCTAAGGGTGATCAAAACTCTTTGTTTTTGCACTATCCGAAATTCCAGATTTCCAAGATTCTCCGAGCTATCTAAATGGCATTCCAAAACATTATTATAATTTGTAATTTTATTTTTGCAGTATGTTCAATGCATTTTGGAGAAGCCATTTTCCTTCTTTTCTGCATACCTGGCCATATTTAACCTCATATATTTACCCATAAATTTCAATTAGTTGCATGATTCCATCATACTACTGCGATTTTTTCAACTATGTATATTATTTAAACTTAATTGTAGTTTGATTAAAGTTGTGGGAAATCTATTTTAATTTTTAAAAAAAAGAGCCAATTATCATATATTTAAACTTTTAACTCACATATTTTATTTTGAATGATCTATAATTTTTTAGTGATAATATAAATCATTTCAAGCTAATGAAATAAGTTTTAATTTTTTATTGTGTGAATGTAAACCTTACTTTTCATTTATAACATCATAAATGTTAATATAATATTCTTTCATACACAGTATCACATTATGATGAAACAAGATTCCCTTTTTCCCAAGAGTTGTGGGTGGTTCCTCCCCTTTTTCTTTGGCTACTGTGACATTTGTATACTTAGCTGTATTTGTTTGTTATGATGTAATCAATATTGTTGTGAGCTGAAGCTTGTTGAATCTCTGCATAACTTGACTTGAGGCACTGAACTGTGTATGTCTCTCCTTTTTTCATGTTGTTCCCGGTAGGGTGGCTCCTAGACTCTCTCTGCACCCTCACCTGTCTTGTTCTCTTTCCCACTTTCTCTCCATCTTCTGTATCACCTTCCCTTATGCCTCAAGGATCAGGCCATGCTGGTAAGGACTTCTTCTGTCTTTCTCTCTTTTCTTTCTTTCTTCTTCTTCTCTCTCTGTTTCTTTCTCCACTCTTTCTTTCTTTCTTTCTTTCTGGCTGTCTGTTGTTTTTTTCTTTACCTGCTTTTTGCTTGCACTTCACTTTCTGGTACACAAACTTTTCTCACTACGGCCATTTTAATTATTTCTTCCAAACACATACAATTATGAGCACAAATGTCTGAACAAAGTTGTAATTTAACAGTTAAGTTAATGATAGCATTTAAAAATTTAAATCAAATTCAACTACATGTGCAGTTCTGGCTAGCATTTGATCTAAGTAGTTAAACCTTTTTTTAAAAAAAGCATAATGTAGAGGAGGGAGGAGCAAAGAATAATTGTTTATGATTTCTGTAGTAAATGTAAATATTAAATTTAATCTTGACTATAGGCATATATATNATTTGTAATTTTGTATACAATTCTGGGCTGCTTAACAGATTTACAAATAAAAATCGTTTTATTTTTTGGATATGTATTACTATATTTTTTATTAATATAAAATAAAATTTATTCAATTATAAGAAATTTAAAAAATTTTTAACTGATAATGGCAGGATGATCTGATAGAGAATCTCACCAGGCTTTTATTTACAAGTTACATGCAAATTAGCAATAATAATAATGATGATAATTATAATTCTTTCTTAAAGATCAAGATGATTACATGTTTGAACTATTTACTGTAGCCTTGATTTAAAGTCTTTTAAATATGCAATTGTGAGATCTAATTTTTTGATTTTTTTTATACATTTAAACTATTTTGTAAATTTTTTTTTAAAAATTAGCCTAATATTTCTTTTTTTTAATATCTTACTCAGTTTTGAAATGTTTGAGCATTTCTTATAAAATATACATATAATTATTTTGTGTTCAGATCAAATATTTTGATACAAACTTCATTATAGATATTCATATTTTTTTAATCAAGTTGTGGTTTTTTCTAAAAAGGAAAAGAATTAACAAGTAAGATTTTTGTGCAAAGCATAACTTAGCCATTTTCTTGCTATTGATAGTCTTATTTATAAAGTAGAGTCCTGATAATTTCAATTAATAGGGGCCATAGCCAACTCAGGTTAACAAAAACTAGAGTTATGGGATTTTTCTTATACTAACAGCACATACAAGTAAATTCAATAGCTTTCTGATGTACCTGTTGGAAGAAGTTAGGAAGTGTGATATAACATAATAAAGTTAGTAAAATTTTGGATTTTTTCTATTTGTTGCCATATAGTCTGTCAAGTAACCTTTTACAGGTTCTTAAATTCTTAATTTGCTATTAATTTTTACTTCTTTTCTATTTCTTTCTTTTTGTTTTTCTGTTAGACTTAGTCTATAACGCCATTTGATTACCTTACATTCAGTATGTGTTATCATTTAAATCTGGCACAGTGTAGCCATTTTCAGCTGTTGGACCATCATACTCTACATTATTTTAATCCAATGACATTACCATCACATGAATTGTAGACTTAATAGCTGTTTCGTCATTTCTTTGGCCCCCTATTACATGATCATTATACACAACAAAACATTGTATATTTATGATTCATGTGATTCTTAAACAATCTTTTTTGAATGAAATATTTTATGTTCATGTAATTTACAAATAATACTTTTGAGCAATGGCATTTTTTACTCTTATGTATTCTTACAAATTAAATTGTATAATATTGGATGATTGATTGTTATCAAACATTTGAATCACAAATCTGGTATAAACGTTCTAGCTGTTTCTTTTAGAACATTCAAAAGTAACAATACTAATTAAAAAGAACTTGGATTATTGGGACTCTACTCTAAATCTGATTAATCTTTACAATTAGCTTCTCAAAAAATATTCTCTAGAATGATTTAGTTTTCTGCTGCTTGTTTTAATGCCATAAATAAAACATTTATCTTAGAAAATTTATTAAGTATAATTTTTTGGATTATTTTGTAATTTATATATAATTTCTTAAGATTCTCTATCAGAAAGTTGTTTAAAAATTATAAAAACTTATTGTTTTCTGAACTGCTTTAATTTTAAATTTCTAAATGTCTGTGTTATCAGTCTGTATGATTCTCATTAGGTAGTATTTGTTATCGTTTTTAAATAATAAATGGAGTGTGATGGCTGATTGAACTATGTTATTAAATGCATTTTGGTTTATAATAAATATAATGAAAAGTAGCAAGCTGATAGGAACCACATCAATATTATAAGAGTTTTTGTTTGTATAGTTGCTATTGAAGAAAGTTCCATGACATATGCAGCTGTCAAAAATATTTTTTGCATTATTGTTGATAAACATTTATAGCATAAATAGTTTCTATTAAATTATACTTTAAAAATTGCATCTTCATATCTAATTGCTAGGTTATTTTAGAGAAAGTAAACTGTTTTATTTAATTTCAGAAAGCCAATAAACGTTGTGTTTTCACCGAAAATTGCTTTTTGATTATTTCTTCTTAATGTGTCAAATTGAGTATTTTTTCAATAAGTTTGTAAAATTTTTATATTTGTTTAATATCAATAATTTTGTTAACAAAACTAGTTTTTGTTTACGTAACATCATTTTTAATTTTGATCATAAAACCCATGCTATTTTACATATTGGAAGTTATCAGTCTCATTTTGTGTTTTAAATTTTATATTTTTCCTTTTAGCAGTTCCACCAATTTCCTCGGAATTCCTTGCTTAAATATAACTTGCAATGCCTAATCTGTATACCTTTTTTTAAACTTTATTTTTAACAAAGATTCTAAAATATGTACGATGGCAGTTATTAAAGAACACTTTGTTTTTATATCTTTTTAAAACTGAAGCATATTTCTAAACATATTCAGGCATGTTTAATGAATATAAATTCCTTGAATCATTTAGAATGTACTATAAAAAAATCTCACCTTATTTTTAAATAGTTTGAACTATTATTATGATATTGAAGATTATTTAATTTAATTTTTATCTTCAGCCTTCATACTCCATTTAATATTATTCATATGTTTCAGCAATTGCTGTAATCCTTTTGAAAACCAGTTAAAATATTTTTAAAAAAACCCATATAAGATGATTTTTGAACTGCTAAAAAGAAATAAATTTGATTTCAAATTATTAGGAAATAAATAAATAAATAATAAAATTTGTGGCAAGCTTGTTAACCTAAATATAAAATCTTGGCTTCAATTTAGAAAAGAAGGGGGAAAAAAAGATAAAATAATTGCTTTGCGTTTTAAGTCAATAACTAAACCATTGAACTTTAGCTTTCTCACTATTTTAACATTATAATCACTTTGTAAAATTTAATCTTAATTTAATTTCATATTTGAACATTTGTAATCAGATAAGGACTTTATAAACATGCACACATTTGATTTTTAATATTTACGTTTTGAAGTTTCGAGAAACGTGTTTTAAGGAAAAACATGCAAAAATTATACAATTAAAATCTGTTATTGAACGTATTGCATATGTAAATCTGGAAAAAACCTTGATTACATATTTTTATGACAATAAATTCTTACAAGAACTGTAACTAAAACAATTTTGGCATTTTATTATTTCTACATTTTATAAAAAAGATTTTCTGATTCATTATATACAATTATCGCTTGCACCCAAATAATTTATGCATCTTATTGTTTGTATGTATTGCTAATTTTTTATAGCTTTTTACATATTAAGTGCTTTTTGCTTTCAGTTTTATGTGCTGTGGATTGCAGCTATTTATATATTGTTTTGCTTTAGTGACAATGGTGCATGGATTTTTAGAATAGTTGGGCTGTTTTACTTATTAAAATTGCATAACTTTCCATTTTTCTGTATTTTAACGACTAAGCATTTTGCATTTCGGCAAGTTGGTGCAGAAATTTCTTTTTAATACCCAAATTTTAAGTTGAATAACAAGGAGACATCAGCTTTTTTGGCAAGAAAAAAAACTGGGAATAGGATTTATTTAGGCATTGCAAATGCTCAGTCAGTTGAAATATTTTATATATTGTATGAAATTGTGATATTATTGTTTGTTTGCTGCTCATATTCTAATAATGATCATACATTATTGTTATCTTGATTTTTTATATGAAAATATATGGCATTTTAGCACTTTAATTGTTAAGTCTGAAGACACTGTACTGTAAAACGTATATGCTTTTCTGCTACATAAACTGGTTGCAATTTAAAAATAATTTACTCAGTCTTTCCCACTAAGGTGTAAGGTTTTAACTCTAAAAAACCCTGCATTTGATTGCACCTCTGCTATACTAATTCTTAACAATTAAAGGGTTAAATATAAAATAACTCTTTTTTGCCTCTTTATAAATTTTAGGCAGATATTTTTTTTAATTCTTTTAAATTTTAACATCATTTTAAAGCTTAGTTTTTATAAAAATTTCTTTTAGGAACTTTTAAGATATTTCATAAATCAAATAATTTTTTTTTTATAATTTCTTTTTTTATCGAAATATAATTTCAATATGTTCTTTAAATATTTTGTTAATTCATATTATAGAACAAATTATTATCTTTTTATGATTACAATGTGTTCTTCAAATTTTTATTTTATCTTAACAAGAGAACAAATCATATAGCAAATAGGGGTAGGCTAAGGAATTTCTAAAAATTAAAGTTAAATATATGTTGATAATTTTTTGTTCTGTTTTTATTTGACGAAATCCTTAAAAAAGGAGTTATTTTATTCTATATATGATTGCTAGTGTATATTTTTACTATAAGAGGTTCCCTTTCATTTATTTATATTTTATAATTTTAATTAAACATAAAGTTTTATTAGTCTAAGACTGTATCTAAATATTTTATAAATGCTGCAACTTTTTTTGTAAGGATGGAAGGCACAGCTATGCCAAAAAGAAGGTTGTTGTGGGAATGAAGCTGTAAAGGTATTAATTAAATTGATCAATGGCTTTAATAATTTGATATTAATTCAATTGCATATTTTTGTTACATGTTAATTTCTTTTGTTTATGTATATAATTTTAAAGCTCAAGTATGTTTGCTTTTAAGCTGTCCCTTAGTGTTTTTTAAAGAGCTCTGTACATATTATTGTTAAAAGAATATTTGATTTCAAACATATATTAATTTTTTTAATTGTATACAAAATATATTGTGAATAATTTTAATATTTATATAAAGGTTTCTCCTTTTTTTGTTTAGCAAATGTACTAGTTTAACATTGATAAAATTGCATTATCTAAAATTGGAATATAACACAAAAGTATATATTTTTTTAATATTATCTATGAATGTGGTTTGTATATAACATCATGGAAAGAAATGTTAATCAAATATTGTACTGCAGAACCCATACTTAAATCTAAATGGTTTCAAATGTATGATCAAGGTAATATAAATCACGTAATAAATTTATAAACTATTCAAAATTAAATTTTTCAATTTTCTTTATTTGAGGAAATAAATAAAAGGATAAAGCAAAAAGGTTAAACTCACTAGTAAATTTTTTTTGGACTAAATTATGCAAAATTAAAACTTATTTTATTTTTGTTTGAGAAATTACTAAAAATTTTAATACTTAATGTTCAGGAAACTGAAAAAAGTCATTTAAAGTAATTCACATCAATTGAAGAAACAATCATGAAATTGAAGTGAAAACAATGTGAAAAAAGCACAAATATAGTACAGAAATTGGCATACTATAGTTTGGGCTCTCTAAATAAGAACCATACTCTCTTATCAAGATGCTGAGGTAGATTCCTTTTTAGAGATCTCAAGCTATTATATGTCCATTTCTGTACTTTATTTGTGCTTTTTTCAAGTTTTGGTTCTTTTTATTCTCCGTAGCACAAAGTATACCCTATCCATTCAATTTTTTTGAAATTCTCAAATTATTGGATAAATTATTATAGACTTTAATAATAATTTTAAAAATCTTAAAGATTTTATCACACATAAAATGTATTTTGCATAAATTAAAGCTTCACTATAGAAAGAAACCTTCAGTTCTTCAAAACACCACATAAGTAACATATAAGTAAATTTTTCTCTATTTTTGTTTAATTAGGCATTAGGAAACTAAGAGGTGACTAAATTACACATGGAAAACATGGGAACAAGCTTCATAAAAGTCAGTGATATGTTTTCAAATAAAAATAATTTCATAATGCATGGTATCTTTTATGCTCACATTACTTTTTTTCCTTCATAAAATTCACTTAAATGTGAAATGAATCTTATCGAATCTAGCTCATATGACTTTGAAAGAAGCTTTCAAAGACTATAGTAATAGATGTTTACTTCACACTTTATGTATACCATCATAATAATAGCTTTTATTGTTATGATGGTACACATAAAAAAATTATTTTGATTATAATTTTATTATGTTCTCTTTTGGGGTTGCAATAAAAATTATAATAAGTTTGTGGACAACTAAGATATTTTCCATACTTTATTCTGGAATGTGTAATTATAAAAGCAATTTAGGTTACTTTATGAATTTCAATGAGAGATTCTTTATTTTACAGACAGCACAAAATAGACTTTTACCTGATTTTCATAAAAATCATTTTGGCTCTGATTAATCTTATAATTAGTTGTATAATCTTATGAGAAAAAACTTGTGTAGCAAAATAAGTTGTACTTATCCGTTAGCGGTAGTAAAAACCTATTACCATAGCACCAATATTATGTACCTATATTATCGTAAAATTAAGTACCTATTACTACAACACATAATTAATAACTATTTACTCTATGCCATTAGTACCTATAACCACAATTAATTAAGCAGAACAGGCATCAATAATTGTATGAATTTTGTTGAACTTTCACTGCCCCTTTTAATGGATAAGTATCAACTAAATTTATTTGTTAAAATATTAATTATGAACTGTGAAAATTATTTAGAATGTGTTGAGTTAATGAATGAATTTTGCAAATAAATTGTTCAATTTCAAAATATGTACAATTAAACTATTTATAGATGTGCTTTGAGCATTCAGTTGCTATTGCCTCAGGCGAGCACCCTCCACCTCTTTATTTGTGTGAAGAATGTGCCAAAGAAGTTGAATCATTACATGGATCTGAGAATTTAGTTGATATTCTTTTGCCAATGGATAAAGTGTCAGTTACCTGTGAAGATCCAGTGAGTTTATTATGGTGTAAAAGATAAATATTCTGTTTGATGCTTTTAGTTATTTTAATCAAATTGTTTAATATCATTCTGTTCGAATTAAAACTGCATTTTTTTGTTTTTGAGGAATTCAGTTTAAGCAGTAGATAGAACCATTTAATTATCTTTGTTTTTTACTTTCAAATTTCAATCACACTTATTTTAGAAAGTGTAATTCACACTTATTTCTGAAAGTAAACAGCAGACTGGCAGTTAATATTATCTCCCCCCCCTCCAAAAAAAACTATGCTTGAAAATGATTTTTACTGTAATTAAATAAATAAATTCAACATTAGTTTATTTGTAATTAGTTAAAATCAAGTTTTTTTTCACATGTAAGTCATTTACAAATGTAAATGATCCCACCTGTCTAATTTTTTTTACTATCAGTGATACATTTAAAATAAAAGTTTAAAAAAAGGTTGAAGCTACTAATCATAAATTATCAATTATAATTGCTCTTTTATTAGTTTTTCTTTTAGTATATTGGTCTTAATTTCTAAATATTTAGATATAATTTTATAAATTAAAAATGCTCAATGAAAATGTAAACAAATAAAGAATTTTTAAATCGGAAAAATTCTAATGTCTGTAAAGCTTCTGGTATCAAGTTGTGGAAATTTCATTGAATCAATTGCATTAGCATTGAAAATTATACAAGTCCCCAACATGTATTTACCTTATGTATCTCCCTTGTTTGTATCTCACACAAATTCTTCCAATTAGAAATAGTAATGCATCTAACTTTGTTGTATCTTCTCTATCATTTCTTAAATTTATTACTTTTATATGTTTTATAAAAATACAGTATTTAATAAAGAAATACTTTATCAAGTTGAAGAAGTTTCCTGGGAAAAGTAGAATTTCAAGATAGGAAGGGTGAAAAAACTTCATTTCATTGAAATATATCAAGCCTATAAAGCACATTAGAATTTTAGTTATTAGAACTACATAAGATTCAGTTATAAGTATCTGTATAATTGAAAATTAAAGAAATAAGTTATTTCTTAAAGTAGAAGGAGCAAAAATGTCTTATTACCTAATAATGTAACGAATTCTGGAAGAAAAAAAATTTTTTTTAGCATTTTTTTTTTTTTTTTTGTATTGCTACAATCAATTTCTGAATCTAAATTACTAGCACTGTGCGATGTTTCAAAATTCTATAGTTACGCTTTATTAAATTTTTCAAAGTGATTACAGAAAATTTAGACAATTGACGCTTTACTGCAACATTGAAGCATTGGACATTAAGTACATTTCAAGTGAAAATTAAAAAAGTCTATCTGTGATTTATTCTTATTCAAGCATGTTATATTTTTACTTGACTGTATTTTTTTTAATGATTAGAATTTTTAGTTGGATGATAATAATTTTTTTGAACAATAGAAAAAAGGAGATGTATTAGAAATAAAGTGGAAATGTTTTACTTACTTATTTAAATGATTATGTACATGTTCGATTTGATGAAACAAGAGATTTCTTTGTATTGGATATAAAATCATAATCAACGTAAATCACATTTTGCGCCTATTGATTAAATAAATCACCAAATCAGGCACAAATGTGATGTAACTATTATATTAGCTGATTTAACTATTATATTAACAAATCAAGCACAATTTGAACTAATATATTAGAAATAAATATAATAATAATTGAAATATATAAGCTGGTTGCTGTTATAAATAATAATAAGAAACATTATGACATAAAATGTTTCTTATTTAGGACTGCAGTGCAACTGAAAAATCTGCTGTTGCTACTTGTTTTTCAATCGAATGTGCAAACAGAAATGGTCACCGTCCAATTAGATACTGTGCAGAGTGTATCATTGGCCATGAACAGCAATGGGGAGATGAACATATGCTTCACACAACCATACCATCACCTTGGAGTATGGATCTTGAAACTCAATCATACATGGTTGAAGCCATCGTGAGGTAATATCTGAGAAATATCTCTCTAGCAATTATATAATGTCCAACTATTATATTTTATTAAATGTCCAATGTTTTATACTTCTTTTAAACTCAATGTTTTTCTTTTACGAATATTTGGTCGTTTGAGGTTCAAATCATTGATTTCTTCAATCCTGAAATTAGACAAAGGAGATAAATAAAATTTTGCATTGAATTTATATGATACTTGAACTGCTCTGTAGCAAAATATTCCTAGAAGTGAAAGCCTTTGCACCTTGTTGTACAATTGGGTTGTTCAGACTGCTTAAAAAATGGACTGGTTTGCTTTATTGGAATACCTGTAAAGGCCTAAACAAGAAAAAGTTATGCCAAATAACCATCTTACAATCCAGTTCCTTGGATTATAAAGTTGATTTTTACACTAGATATTAATAAATGAGTTAAAGCCATTTTTCTTTGACATATTTTATGAAAAAAATTAGCTAATATGCAAATCAGTTCATTCACTTCATCATTTCATTCACCAGTTTCACAGCAAATCAGTTCATTCATGTTAGTGAATATACAAATTAGTTCATTCTTAAAAATAAACTTACGATGGATGAAAACCTCCTAGTATCTCAAAAATATAAATACAGTGGAGCATCGTTTATATGACGCCGAAGGGACAACTGAAAAACGTCGTCTAAACGATAACGTCGTATAATCGATTTTTCCTTTCAAAACTAGTAACTAACTCTGTTTTCAGTTAATTTTAATGTTTAACGTGTTGATTTACATAAATTTCTAAATTAGAAAAAGCAAAACAAACAAATAACCATAAAAAAAAGAAAAATTACAGTAAGCAATTTGAATGTACGTTACATTTATTTTATTTATTAATTATTATTTAATTTATTTTTTTTGAATACTCCAAATTTGTTTTTTTTTCACTTTAATCATTTCACGTTACGTTTACAGAAAAAATTATTTACGGTTGTTTGATGTGAGGATTGACGTTGAGCTTTATTGTTGTCTTTGTTACCTGAGACCATGCCAACGAAATCATATTCATTGTTTGGAGAACACTTATTTCCTTGCGATTAGGCATTGCAATGCTTCGAATAGTGAGGATATATGGAGAGTAGTTCAACTAACTGCTCTCCATACTGCAATTTTAGATTCCTAATCACGGTCAAATCTAATGGCTGAAGCACACTTGTGCAGTTTGCAGGAAAAAGTGAACTTTTACATTTTCCAAAAAATTAGTATCCGGTGGGACATTGGTCGATAAATAGCAAAATTTTTAGTTTTTGCCTCAGCATAGCATTCTCTAGTTTTTTCAGATAGCTAGTAAAAATTTTGGTCGTCTTCCACGCATTCTTATTGGCGTCATAATTCAGCGGAAGCATTTTTATATGCTTTAGACATCTGGGATGTTTTGATTTTCCTACCACTAAAGGAGTGTTCTTTTCACTTCCATCAGAGTTTACAGAAAGCAGCACAGTAAGGCGATCTTTTCTTTTATGCCTCCTTTACATTTTTTGCCTTTATAAGCTAATGTCCGATCCGGCATTAAATCATAGAAAAGACCCGTGTTTAGTGTGAAGAATAAAAGTAAAATAAACATAAACAAAATCTAAAAGCCGACATATAACCGATTCTGTGCGTCGCATAAACGATATATTTTTACATTAAAATGAATAGGAATGAATTGGGACCACACTAAAACGTTGTATAAATGTAAACGTCGTATAAATGATGCTCCACTGTATTTAACTTTTATCAAAGATACAAACAAAAGTGTTTAATATTATTTTTGAAACTTTTGCGATAAGTATTGTCAATCTTTCATAGCTATATCAATCTTCCCCAAAAGTAATGTATAAATGGAACAATTACCTGGGTATTAAATTTTGTTTAAATAAATCAATTAATTATAAACTTTGTAATTTCTAAAAAAATGCCTTTTTTCAGTTTATTGCATGAAGCCGAACCTCTAAATGATAAGCATGTGCAAGAATCCTCAAATGGTTCTGATGATAGAGAAGAAAACAGTGAAATGTCTGTCGTTCGAGAGAAACAACTGTTGAGTCGTTACGGAATCTGGTTAATGGTTGGTTTATGTTCCCCGACTGAAAATACCCCAGATGTAAGTACCAATGCTCTTTTATTTTCATTCATTCTTTCTATACTTTTTCTCATAAACTAATGTAAAACTAACTCTGAAAGTATAATAAGATTCTCTAAAATAGTTAATATTTTAAAGATAAGGAAAATTACTAAAGATATTTATGTATTGTATTTATCAGGATTTTGATTTATTTTGACTAGGCTTTGTTTATCTTTGGAACTTCCTTAGAAAATATTGTTCAATTTTATTTAAAAATACCTTTACGAAATTTTTTTTAAAAATTTATACATTTTAAATATTAGATCAAACTTGTCTTATTTGGTCTTAAAATATAATAATATGATTTTTTTGTAAAATTAATATTTTATTTGTTGGTATGTGTTCAATATTAATCTGCAATTATAGCTTTTGATTTATCATTTAGTTTAGTAATTTATGTAATGATTACAAATGTGATAATTTCTATTGTAGTTTCTGTAGTTTGTTTATCTCTTGCCATATATTAACACACATTTTACGAACCGCAGTAATGTCATCATAATCAAATCCTCGTTTTTACATATATTCTGATAAAGTTTCCACAGATTGTAGAGCAGCAGAATGAGAAATTGTATTTCCCTCATTTACTACAGCTTCTGCATCAGTACTATCATCAATATTTGATTTAACAACACAGTTAGTAACAATGTCTTCATCCATCAAATACTGGAAGCCCGGCCCACGTGCATCACTTTGAAAGCAATCTTCTAAATTTTCTTCATCAGGAATTTCGAAACCTACGATTTCTTTCGCTTGTTCAAGATTACTGTTATCATATTCTTCTTGAATATCTAAAGAAGATTGTTCATCAAGCGGTATGCTCTTTCTCCATGATCGTGATAACGTAGACGATTTTACCTTTGACCTTGCTGCTGATATTCCTTATACTGCATCCAATAACGAATATTGCTTCCAAAAATTTGGTAGTGTTATGTCTTCATGAATCAAATTTTTTAAAAGTTCAGATCTGTAGTGCTGTTTCATTGCTGAAATTACACCTTGATCCATAGGCTGTATCGTAGCTTTTACATTTGGAGGGAGAAATTTACCAGTAATCAATCCGTCTTTAGATGCTAGCAAATCTATTATCAGTGTTATCAATAATTGCATAACTTAGAAACAGTCTTTTACATTTATTATATTAATAGTTTAAATTTTTTAATTGTAATTTATATTTTGACTTTCAGGAATCCTTAGGTCGGCTGCTTAGTATACTCTTTCAGTGGTTTCATTACACAGCCTGCTTACCAGATGGTAATAATTGTTTTAATTGTTTTGTAATATTTGTTTTACACAGCCTTATTTTGCCTAACTTTATAATTATTTTTTGTAGAACTATTGCTTAGTTGAATAAATAATTATTAGAAATCATTTGGTGCAATATAATTTTGTATATGAGATAATGAAAAATTGCTATATCAAATCTCTAATTCATCACTGTTTTCAAACTGCTAATAGAAACTAAATCTTATTGGTATAATTTGTAAATATTTACTCTATCTTTTTGTCACTAAGTTGTATGGAATATGTCTTATATTTTATAATATTATCTAATCTTAGGTTTTTCTTTTTTATCTAAAACTCTTATTTTAGGTCAAGCAGGAAATGCTTTAGAACATTTGAAAGGCGAGGTAATATTAATTTACTACTCATGCATACATTTTTAGTACAATTTGTTTTAATTATAGGCACTGTATTTATGAAGAAATAAAAACTTCCTCATTGAGTTAATATGCATGCTATTATTTTATGGATTTTATTTTAGACATTTTATGGATTTTATTATTTACATTTGATACGGAATGATTGGATAGAATTGAATATTGGAGTATTTGGCTGCCAAATAGTGAATTTCTTTTTACTTCATTGCTAGGTGTCTAAGTTAACGTCTTTTATCAAAATCCGAATTTGTCCTACGTAATAAAATAGTGCAAAATATTTGTTCTCTGACCACCTGTCTATCTTATATGCCTGATGAAATAAGTCAAAATTGTTATGATTGTTATTTAAGAGTGTATTATGCGAGTTGATATTATGAGTGTAATTTTTGTTATGAGCGCTTTTCTAAACCTTTGATAAGTTGACAAAAAAAGAAAGTTTTTATGCTAGTATGTTATGTATTAGAATTTCATGGAATTGGAAAAAAAGCATTAAAAACTTACCTGGACTCCTTTGTGAATAGACCAATATGGGAAAACTATTGAGAGCTTCTGCAAGAAATAAATTGATAATATTTAGCAAAATAAATTTTAAAGTATTAAAATGGATATAGTGGTAAGTTTACTAATTGCATAGATGCTCTTGTGATATTTTAGTTTAAAAAAATTGTTTATAGTAAATATGTCACTAATAAAATATACAGATTTTATTTTCTCAACCAATCAGCATGACATTAATTTCTGCAAAATTGTAATTAATTCTAGTATTTAATTCCATTCTTGAGGATACATTTTATATTTGATAAATAAAATTTTAAAGTCATATTGAAAAATTAATTGCATTTATTTTAATTTACAACTTGTAAGAAGTATATTTAATTGTCATATGATATAGGATGTGAAACAAACATCCTTTTATAAGTAATCCAACTTATCGCAAGTGGTTAACTCACTCAGGTTTTGCTATGTGTATGTAAAAATAATCTCAGGAGAAAATTTTAATAAACCTGAATAATGTTTTAAATATAAGTATTTATCTTAAATATACCAAAAGAAAGAAAACTTAAACCTAAATGTTTTATAAAGTTTTAGTCTTTTAAAACATCGTTACATTTGATGTATCTTCTGAAATAAATTATGAAAAAATAATAATTTACTTGCAAAAATACAGAACTTTTTAATTACATGTTTGATGAATAAACTTTTATTTAAACAAACTCTTGTTCTAATTTTTGAAAGGGGAAGTTGACTCCCTTTGTTATATAGTCTGTCATGACATTTTTAAAGTTTTGTTTACAAAACAGCACCTCAAATACATAATTCATTAAGAACCAAAAATAAAATATCTATAGTGGAAGTACTTGTACACTATATAAATGTAATCAGTAAGATTTGTAATTGTTATATACTTTTCAATGGTAAAAAATAGTATATTTGTAGTATAAGAAAATTATTGATGCCAAGAATAATTATTGCTACTCTCTGAAGTGGTATAACTATTTTCTAAGCTTTTTTTATATTATTAGTCAACAAAATGTTAACTTGTAAGCAAGCCTAGTTTTTTTTTTTTTTTTTTTTTTTTTTTTTTTTTTTTTTTTTTTTTTTTTTTGCTGTTTTGAAAGGGGTTATATTTTTAAAAATCTGTGCAAGACAAAACAAATTGGATAATATAAACACTAAAATATTTTAGTTAACCATTTAAAATTATGCATTGTTATGCATTTTAATAAGTAAAAGCAGGTTATTGTAAAATTTAAAAAATTGCCAAGTTTTTTTTTTTTTTTGCATTATGTATTTTACGTTCCCAATGAACAAGTTTCATAGATTGAGTAGTCAAATAATTTTTTTCAATTTGAATTTTAAATTTATGTTTGCTGTATTCTTCATTATTTTAAAATAGCTGAATATCGTTGACAAAATTTTTTATTATTTTAAGAAAGAGTCGGATTTTTTATTTCATTTTGAATAATATTTAAAAACATTGTGACTCAATTTTGTTTAGTAAATGTTGTATTTATTTTTATGAACTATAAATATTTTAATAATTAAATATATTTTAGAGATTGCATTTGTATTTTTAGTGTGTTACACATATTTACAATTTGTATCAAATCATGAAAACAATGTATTGTCCTATTGTTAAAAAAATTGACATTTTCATTTGAGCTATTGTTTTAAGAAACTAATTCATGTAAAATAAAGCTCATTTTGTAATTCAATTTTTTTGAACAGTATATTCATGGATGGCTAATGGAAGTTGTAAAAACACATTTCGATGTCTTTGTATCCTGCTTACTACCTAATCCTGTAGACTATGCAAAAGTTGGTGGACCTTGGTAAAAGCTTTTTGTAATAATATTTTCCTCCTTAAAGTTCCATATTTAAAGCATTCAGAAAAAGCTTTTTCTTTGCTTTTCAGTTTTTTGTTTATATTTAAAATAAAACTTAGTGTACTGATATGATCAAGATAATTTCTTTAAAAAAAATTAACCACTTGACATGCTGCAGTGAATTCTGGACTATAGATAAGCTTTTAGTTATTGCATCTTTTCATATAAACATGTCCTTAGTGAATAAAAAATAAGGAAAATAATGAATGCTTACCTTTGTCTTGTGTGTGTTCATCTAATTTGTCTTCACTTTATATTCTTCAATTCTGCATGAATAGCTCTTCACTTACTGATAGGGTTGCAGCATTAATAATTTAGTAAATGTTCAGATTGCCTTTTAAAATATGAGTTCATCCTTAAATAATCAGTAACATGATGAATAATTATTAGTTAATAAGCGCGCAAGCTGGAGGATGTATAAGTAGTGCAAAAAAGTGAACTTATTCAAATCTATGCATTACAATATTACATCCAGTGACTAAAGTTATAAATATTTTAGAAGATTGCAGAGGAAACTTATATTTTATAGCAAAATTTCTATTCAAAATCATTTACTGTTTTTATTTTAATTGTAATGCTTTTTATTGAAATGGTTTTTATTAATTTATGAAATAAATTAATGCATAAAAATTTAAGTATATGTTATCAAAAAATCAAAACCACTTAACGTTACCATATTTTTAACGTGATATTTAAATAAATAAATTGAATTGTTTAAAAGGAAAAAGATGCACAACTAATAGTATTACGACAAGTAATTTAAATTTCATTGAAGAAAAGTGTATTTAAAGCTTCTAAACCTTATTAGAAGAGTTTAATGGCGAAAAAAACTTTGAAGTGATGTTTTTATAAATTTAGCAACATCTGCTTTATAAAATACAGCAACAGCAAGAAGCTCTCTAGAAAACACAGCTTTTAGATTTGACATTTTCATATTTTCTTAGAATGTCATTTGTCTATCTCTTCAACATAGCTCTTAAATTAATTTTTGAATTTAAGTGGTTTAATTTTTTTACATCAAATTTGAAAATAAATAATTTTGTTTTGCTTTTGAGTTTTGTTTAGAACTTTTCAAATAATGTTTTTTACCCCTCTTAATTTTAATGATAGGGAGACATGGCCTTGTTATCCTGTTCAAATTAAAGAAGGATTGAAAAGACTACTGTGTTTAGCACCATATGATGTACTAACTGCAGAAGTAAGTTTTACATTTTTTCCTATTTCTTATTTTTTTATAATAATTGATATTTTTAATTTTTGTAGTTTGTATAATTATAAATGCAATTGGAAACTTATAGTCACTGTTCTAACTTTCCGAAGTTTCATGGGTTTTGTTGTATGTAATGCATGACAGATTTTTCTTTGAATGAAGTATGTCTCAATATTTGACTTAAATATTCTCTTGTAATTTGAGTTTAATATAAAATTACAAGATTAAAAAGGTGAAATCTACGCCTGTTAAATGAATCAGCAGTTTCTTAATATGAAAGCATAAAGTGAAACATGCTTTTCAGGAGACTTCATGTAGTTACTAACTGTAGCATTGATGTAATGAATTTTACATTTCAGGTATGGAAATACATAATGCCATACTGGATGGATGCATTTAGACATGAAGCAGTTGAAGCTGAATTTGCAGAGTTAAAAATTCTTTTAAGGTAATTAATTTCATCTTATACCTTCATTCAACTCATTTTTCTTCTACTAATGTAAGGGATCTGTTTAGAAGAAATTTGGGTCCGTTGTGAATGATTATTCTGCATTCAGCAGTGTAGGCTAAATACCAAATATTTATATGTTGCATCTCTAATTTAGAAGCAGCAATTGCTGTTTATTTTTGAAAATGTAATTTTTTTTTTAATTATAATTTTACAGTGCTGAGCATAATCTTGTATCTATTTACAATTTAAAAACTCCTTGAAAAAGTTTTTTGCAATAACCCGACCCTATTTGCACAAATTCATAAAAGCGAACCCTGGTTGAAAGAATGTGAGTATAATTTTTTCACAATTTCACGAAAACCGGACCTTTCACAAAATGTCTGGACAGACCCCTGAATGTCATTAAAAGCATTTATTTTTAGTAGAACAGGGTATACATTGTAAATAATTTTCATCATTTAAAATTTCTTATGTGACACTTCATGTTTTAAATGATTAAATTATGTACTATTTTTATTGCTTTTATTTTTAATAGAATATACTGTTCTGATTATAGGTATTATTTATATGCTCCTTAATATAAATTTGCATTTAACCAAAAATTTAGAATATACTAGGTTAATTCAAGTTCACCATTACTTTACACTTTTAAAAATTTGTGTGTATCATAGTAAGAGGTTTTTTTTTTTTTTTTTTTTGCAAATTACAAATAATTTATGTCAAAATCTTACTACTTATTTGTTATAAATTTTATTACATGCTTATTTGTAGTTAATAATGAACACATTGAATGAAAGAACTCTAATTATCTGAACTGTAATGATAAGGATCGTCTTTAGTTTATAAAATCCTTTTCAAGGTTGATTATGATGACAAGGTATTCATGATAATGATTCGTGAGTCCTTTATTATGTGAAATATGTATTTCTATCCTATCTATTATATCTTATCCTATATATAACAATTAGCTTCTTATACTGTTATTTGGATGTTTGATTTTCTGGCTTGTATTTGATCACAAAACTGGATAAGAATTTTACTATATTTCTTTTTAAGCATTGAAATTACAATTTAATAATGAAATATTATATAAGTACTAAATTTTTTCATCATCAATATTTTTATATCTGCAGTCAATGCTTCATACTGCAGTGCCTGCTGTCCAAATGAAAATTATCATTATTATAGCATGAAATTTCAGAAAGTGTACAGAAGCATTAATTAAGTTTTACATTTAAAAATTGATTTAATTTTTGAGAAATTGCTTTATCATTTTCTTTTCTTTAAGGAAAATAGATTCTTCTGATTTTTGAAATTCAGAAGTGCAAAAATAAATTTTAAGTGATAAATTTAAAAAAAAGAATATATGTTTCAAGGTGTGGTATAAAAAGTTGCTACTGTATTTTAACTTATTAAAATGCTTAATTATATATTTCATTCTAATATCACTGACTGAATTTTTCATTATTATTGCAGTAGTGTTTTAGATCCAACTTTAAGTCCTCTTGCATTTAGTGCAGAGCAGATGTTCAATTTTCTAATTGAACGATTTAAAACTCCAGCCGCTCCAGTTCAAGAACAGGCCTTATATTGGTTGCAGGTAAACTATCTGAATATTTTTTTATAAATATTTGAAAAGTAAAGACATGTCTATTATTCTAAGTTTTTAGATGACTTCTAAATTTATTGAAACTCTCTGAAAAATAAGTCACTTAATACTGACATATAATGGTTTTCAAATTCTGTTTCATTGTAACATATTTATTTTTAAAACTGTTATTTCAAATTATACATTTTGATCTATGTAAATACTAAATATAGCATGGTATGAAACTTTAAAATGTTTTTACAATCAGTTTGTGTATTTGTTTTTGATAATAATATTTTTTAAAAGTTATACGCTTTGCAAAGTTCTTAATCTCGCTAACCAACTAAGTAATTGCAACACCTAAAGACGTTCACACACTTGCTATTTTTTTTTACTGATAAACCATTTTTCAAACCATCTCATTCAATGAAGAGTTTGAGCATATTGGAAAATTTTTTACGCTTATTAATATGAAACAATCAGTTTGCTAAGCTCTTACAATTTCATTATCTAACAGGATGGCTCAAAAATATATTTCACAAGATTTTAAAAGCATATTGATATTTTTAGAAATAAATTAACAATTAAAAGTTGATTGAATTAAACACTTTTTAACTTTTATATTTTGCAGATACATAAACTATAAGAAAATAAATGAAATGGAATAATTATATAAATATACAATTAATTTAGAAATTTAAAATCATTCTTTTTAATTTAAAATAAAATGATTATATTAAATGCAGTTATTCATTTTCAACAATTAAACCCTATTGTTCATTTCTTCTGTATTAATGGACTACAAAGTTTGAAAATGGTTTATACCTTTTTAAATGCATATGGAATAGAAATAATTAAAAATAATTTATGTTAATATAATAAGGTCATATCTTTCAATAATTTTTCTTGTTAATTATAGCTTTAATTTTTCATATCTATAATTTAGCTGTACACAAAACAAATAGAATTTGTTAATAATGTTTTAAAGGCTATTTCAGAATAAATATAAGAATTAGATTCAGTCTGTACAATATTAAATAGGGTTAAAATTTACTTTCTGAAAAATAAATTTTATTTTTGCAGACTCTTAGTATGCTGGAAGTTCCTGTTCCTCTTGAATTACTGTATGATATGTTCATGAATGGAGTTAAAAATATGAATTTAAGTGATGAAGAAAAAGAAACCTCAGCGGCATGTAAACTCATTCCTCCCCCAACTCATGAAACTAGGGGATCTTTGCGATTTCTAAGGAACCACATGAGTCTTGTCAATGTTCCAGAAGAAGAAAACCCATTACTAGATGTTGAGTGTAAATCAGATGATGAAATCCATTTACCGTGCTACATATTGATGTTAGATATACTAATTAAACAGGTATTGTTTTATTAGTTTTCAAAATAACTGAAGCACATTGATATTATTTTTCTTGTCATAGGTAACTTTATAAAAGAATGTTCTTTTTTTCCACCATATTTTGAAACAGTATTGAAATTTGTAATTTGCTGTAAAATACTAACCAAACTTCCTCTCTTCAGATTTGGTTAAGCTCATACCGATATTGAGCAGAGGCCAATACTCTATAAGCTCATATCTAATACCTCTAAGAGAGAGATTTTCTATCTCCACTGTCAAAATTTAGATGGAATTTAATCATTCTTATAACTGTTAATAAATGTATATTATTTTGCTGTTATTACTTCAGTTTTAATGAATAAATAAACAAATGTACTGTTTCATTTCATATTAATGAATACTGTTACAAAGTTAATAAAAATAATTCTATTGTTACATTGTTCCATCTCCCATATCAAGCAATGCCTTTCTATATTTAAACTTAATATGTTACATAAAGTATGTATGATTCTTATATATATATTTCTTCTAAAACACAAAAAGATATAATGGGGGAAAATAAATAAACAAAAAATATTTCAGTGTATATTCTATCCTGACATTGCCAGCTTAGACTATATACCAAGGAGGAACTTTTGCAGTTGGAAAGGCGTCAAAAGAAATAAATGGGAGAGAGAGTAAAGTGGAAATATTGTTAATTTCTTTGAGAACCCCTTGAAAAAGAAAAGAAAACAGGATAAAGCTTGGATGCCTATCACTGAACTTGAACACTGAATCTCTTAGAGGCAATATGATAATCGGAGCCTCTCTTTAACTTGAGTCAGTCTTCAGTTCTGCATATTTTTTAATCTCTGTAAATAATTTTTTACTTTAATGCTAATTTGCATTTGACCTGATCCTAGTTATAAAAAAAAAAGATTATGGAAATATATTTTAGTTATTTAAAAATATAATTTATTTATTTAATTAAATTTATCAATGTTTACACCTTATAAAATTTTCTCATAAATGGTATTTGCATTTTTTTTCTTTGTTACCATTTACTCCACCCCAACGTTGAAGTAATTTTTGTCAAAATTTTGGTGGGGGTTTAATCATTTTTATAACTATTAATAAATGTATACTACTTTGCTGTTATTACTTCAGTTTTAATGAATACATAAGCAAATGTACTGTTTCATTTTATATTAATGAATACTATTACAAAGTTAATAAAACTAACATTCATCTCTAACAATATTTACAGTTTAAACCCCGTTTGGAGTCTAAAATTGCAGACTGTCATTAAAATTTGGCATAATATTGACGTTATCTTCCTGGGATTTGTAAATTTTATGCAACATCACATATTTTATGTGAGATAAGAAAATATGTTGTATATTTTGGCTATAATCAGATGAGGCTTTATTTTTTCAAGACACTTTTTTATTTATTCGATTTTTTTTTAGTCAGGTCCACCAAGGGATTACTCCTTGTAAATATGTATTGTGATATAGACTTTCATAATATATATGTTTGGTTCTCATTGGTTTTCTTTGCGTTCAGTTATTGCAGAAAATCGGTGTGCTATTACTTAGTTGAGACACACTGTACACGTTATGATAAGGACATGCCTAATTTAATTTTGTTATTTGAGCAGAAAAGAAACCTTGAGTTAGTAATATCTTGTAGTAATCAGTATGTCAGATTTCTTCTTGGAACATATTAGATATTTTTCATGCTCTATTACGTTAATTATTTTATATCTAATATTATTTTGTCCTTTACAGTTAGAACTTCATGAAATAAACATGCACAAGGGTCTTGAGCAAAATCATGCTCAAAGTATACTATCATTGATTAGAAGCTTAGTAGATGCTCCTTGGGAAGGTCGACATACTTGTTCTGAGCCAAGTGATGGAAATCAGTGCATATTTTGTGAAATATGTGCCATATTTTTTCAATTGAGTGTTACCTTAATTGAATATTTTTCCCCTGTAATGGAAGTAACCATGGCTGATGTAAGATTTTCCTTCATATATCTCTTTTTCATTTTAATATTCAAGGATTAAATTTTTTTAATATGGTTACTTTACATAATTTTTGCATTTGATTTTTAAATCTAAAACGTTTTTACTCTTCAGTGGATAAACCCTATGTCTTTTTAAGGAAAGATTTTAATAGAAGTGTATGTACTGTGTGCAAAGAAAAAAAAACACATTAAATAAATTTTGATCTAATAATTGGATCTTCATGTTCTAAAACTCAATTTCAATGGTTTGAAGGGTAACCTCAAATATGCTAATTAATTAGAGGAGAAGATATTTTAATTTACGAAATCAGACACAAATTTTTCTTTCTCTGAATTAAAATACCTTTTCCCTCCGACGGAACTGGATATCTGTCCACCGAATTGAGGAACTTAGTGCCTTGATACCCTGTATTTTAACTTAAAGTATCATCTACACTAATTAATTATCATATTTGAGGTCACCCACTCAAACCATTAAGATTGAGTTCGAGAATATGAAGATCCGAACATTGGACCAAAAATTATTCAGGATGGCTCATTTTTTGGTCTGCTGTAACATGTACATTTATTAGTGATAAATTGTTTTCAAATCTAAGAATTTTTACTTAATTGAAAATGAAATAATATTTTATGAATTGTTACTCATTCATTTATTTAATAAGATTTATCAGATCTTGAAATAATATTTTTTTAAAAATATTTTTGGAGATTAAGTATTTTTGTAAAAAATCTTTTGTTGTTGTTACCTAATAAAATTTTATATTTATTTATTATCCAAGAATAGACTGCTTTGTATTATATCAAAAAATTAATAATCAAAATTATAGTTTGAAATATTCACAGAAATTTTAATGCCTTCTTCATAATATTTACATTTTCTAATGTTTATGTTTATTGTTTACTGAAAGTATAAAAATTTTAGTGTTTTAATAATAAAAATTTAAAAAGACTAATGCTTTGCTGTTAAAATAAATGTTAAAAATACACGACAAAGTAGTTGTATTAATTTAACTGCTATATTTTAGATTCCTGCTAAAGTGTTTCAGTTTGAGGATGGAGAGTCTGTGAATCAACCAGAGAGCACTCCTGAGAAAACAAAAGCCAAAGTTGAATCTGATGTCCCCTCAAGTTCTCCTCTCAAAGAAGATAATGCATCACACCACAGTGTTGTGAACTTCTTTTCCGATGTAACAGAGGACAGTATCTTTGTTGGGCATTCATCTCCTATCCATACTGCAACAGTGCAAGAATGTACTGCTGAATTGGATACTGTGGCTGTCATACCTACAGAGACAGTTGTCGCTGCTGTTGCAAGAGAAGTTACATTAACCGATGATGATGTTGGTGAGTAAAATGTATATTTTAATTATCAAAAAAATTTTATTCTAATCTAAGTTTCAAAGCTGTGCTTATTCATAGTTGTGAAGGAATTAATCCTTAATTTTTTTCTTCCATTATTACTCAAAATAAAAGAAAAAATATTTGAAGTGCTTATCAAGGAACAATTATGATATATAAAACCTATTTAAGAAACTTATTTTATATGTGATTATAATAATTAACAATTCTTTGCTTGAGTGTAGAGTGTTAGTTTTAAAAGTAATGTTATTATATATTTATTTATATAGTTAGCTTACTTAGTAGTGAGATTCAGAGGCACTGAAGTAGGAGATTCCTGAGACATCTTAAATTTTTTCACTATTTTGGAATTTATTAATTTTTTCTGGAATTCAACATATTATAGTCATTGTTCAGTTTACAAAGCATCTTTTAAACAAAAATAAACAACTAAAAAGATAAAACATCAGCTTAAATAAAGTCTTCAAAATCTCCCCTCTAAAAAATGCAAGCTTTTGGAGCTTGGGAATTGATTTTTTATGCACCTAAGCTTAACGTTTGCAATTTTTTTATCGCCAACCTTAACCTTTTAAAAAAGAAACATTGTAGCGAATTCGAGACAAATTTATATTTGGCAATTGCACTTAAAATGAATCAGATGAAGATTTTGCACAAGCTCACGCTTCAAAGTTAATATGAAAATCTACTATTAAACAAAATAACCGGGCAATTCCTTAGCCTTAAAAAAAATCAGTGTTGTGAGTTCTAGGCAAATTTATGCTAGGCAATCACACTTAAACTTTAAATAACAAACACATTGAAGTTATAAAGTCGACCTTTGCTCATCTCACTCTTCTAGTCATTTCATCAAACTTATCTGTGCTCACAAGAGCAATCTGAGCATTGGCAGTTATTATTACCTCTGATGTTGGCGAGGGAAAAAAATCTGAAAAACAAGTGCATATGTACATATCAAATCTATTCCAGAGTAATGATTAAAATTATACATGAAATCAAATTTTAACATCAGCCAAATATAAAAATGTAATAATAAAGTTTTTAATGAGTTTAATTGCACTAAGAATTTCATAAGTAATTTTTTAAATTTTTGCATGCATGATTTGGCACAGGTTTTCAAAAGTTTGCTAAAACTTTTGTATTTTTTTTAAAAATCGGGATGATTGTCATATTTTACTTATAAAGAGGATGAAGAATTTTTAAAATATTACAATTATGTTAATCAAAATGATGTAACTTAACTATTTAGAAATACCTAATCAAAATCTTCAGAAGTAATAAATAAGTAATAAAAGATTGGAATTATGTTTAAAATTAGAAATAGATTTAATATGCTAACAATTTTTTTGTGATAACTTTTCTTTGCACTCTTCTACTTTGGCATTGTTTTCTTGTTAGCAATATTTTATTATATTGTATTGTAATAATTAATTTTAGCTGGAGCTAAATGCACTGTTTCTACTCCTCTTCTTTTGGATGAAAATGAGGAGGCTGTTCCTCAAACTACAGATGATGCTTCATTTTGGCATACTACTGAAGGGAAGTTTAAATTTACAATTGAAGAACTACCACCACAGCTACAGCTGTTCTATGCTTTATTGAAAGTAAGTTTGATATTTCTATTTCAGTATAATATTTACCATTTCTCTGTCCCTTAGAACTAAAATTGTTAAAATGATACTAAGAAACGAAATTCTTACATTTTCATTAGAATATGACTATTGTCATAATGATAATAAACTTAAAAGCAAATGTCAGAAATCACAAATATTATATTAAGGTAGTTTAAAATAGCATGGGAAAAATGGTTTCACAGAAGAGTCATTTACTTAATATGCATTGCTCTTGATGATATAGTATGTTTCCCATAAATCTAAATCTACAAAAGAAAAACATCTTGGAATAATAGTAGATGAATTAAATTGGAATTTATGATTCTCAGAACAGCAATGTTGTGCAGTAGATATAAATTGGGAAAGTTGTGATTTACGATGTAATTAATATGTTCTTTTATTCTAAACCTTTAATTTTTGACTATCTGAATATTTGTAAGTTTAAGCATAGTTAAATTATTTTTTAGGATCTTGCAGTCTTTGAAGATGCTGATGTACTTTATCACATACTAACATGCCTAAAAATTATGTGTCTACATTCGGAAGTACTGAATAAGGCTGCACACAATCATCGTGGTTTTCTGATCTGGTGTCAAGAGAACCTTTTAGTGATGAAGTATGTTAATGCGTAAAATCCAAACAATGTTATTCTTTAGAATTTATTTTTCTTTTTGGTTCAATTTTTATGCGTCTAATTTTTTATACTTCTTATTAATGATTATTAAAATTTTTACTTTTTTTTTGTTTGCAGTTTATGGAAATTACTTCAGATGGAATTTTCTCACATTGCCCAATTAGCAACATCATTGCTGTTGCATGCTATAACTCTTCCATCTGGCTTTGATATGTTTTGGAAAATCATTGAACAAGAATTTCATAGTACTGAGTGGAGGACCAGATTTGCTGCTGGTTAGTGTTAGTGTTTCTTTTTTCCATTTTTTTTGAAAAAAAAATTAACTATCCATTTTTGTTTTACAATAAGGCTTGACTGTATAGCAAAATTTGCTTGAAAGCGAATCAAGTATGTGATAAAAAACAGCTTTTAATTCAGTATCTTATTTATTCTTCTTCCCTTCTAAAGAATACTTTTTAGACAAACCTCCTAATCATGTAATCAAAAGAAAAGGCTAAAAATTTCGTGATTTCATAAATTTAGAATAGGGAAAAATCATAATTTTTTACATTTTTATCAAAATAATAACTATGTTGGTATTTTACAAGTTATACAGCATGTATTTAGTTCTCAAGCAGAAAAACTATAATTTGTAACATATAGGATTATATTTCATTGTTAACAAATTCAAATTTTTTGCTACTGTATGAAATTACCACAATGCACAAGATCCTTATTCGTGTAAGCATTTTTTGACATATATTGAAAAAACATTTTTGTTCTACCACAGAAAAATATTTTATGAAAGCATGGGTTGATGAAAAATGAATTTGTTACAAACGAGTTTTTCTTTCTCCTCTACTATCCGAATAGCAAATTTGTAAGAGAATTCGAAATTCTTTTCTTAATATTGTAAAAGTTATGAATTTGAGGTTAGCCTAGGTGAGGGTAGACTATATTAACTTGATATGTATTTTTCATGAATACTTACTGTGCAATGAATAAAAAGCATTCTTCCTTATCAAACTCGCAGGCATGTGAAGTTAAGTAAACTGTTGTGATATTTACTCATTGCAGTTGTTTTTGTATCTCTGGGCAAATAATAACTGGAAGACATACTGAGGTTGCCAAACAGCAATATAATTTCATTTTATAATTCACTTATTTATATAAGTTGATTTATTTCTATCTTTCTGAACCAATTATTAAAAATTTGATACTAAATTCAATTTACAGTTGAAAAAGTTACTGTGATTGCTCACTTTGTGGACTCCCTAACGGTGAAGAATAGCCCCTTAATGCAGTCTGCATTAGCTGGATCTTTCTGTTATTTGGTGCATAGTCTAGACGATGAACAGCCGACAATTTCTCAGAGGACACTTCTTAATTTAGACAGCATTAAAACACCCTCTTTGAAGGTACGTATATCTTAAGCTCATCTAATCTAGGTTTGAGAAAAATTATTTGTGGCAGATTTGATAATAAAAAGAGGCGTAGTAATTTTGCCACTTAAAAAGCTTGGATATTTTATTAAACTACTTTGATGTAGTAAGATAAAGTTGTATTTTTAAGATTATTTGCATAGTATGACTTCTATATTGCATAGTATGAAATTACTGTTTCCTTTTGTATCAGAAATTTTGCGAAGTGAGTTCATATAAAATAAAATAAACAAAAAGCTTGTTACATAAATATAATTGCCCATAACAGAACAATTGATTTTTAAGAATTGTAGTTTTTATGAAATTGCAATCTTTCAGATTTAAATGTAAAATTAAAATTTCTGCTACTGATTCAAAAATGTTATTGAAAAAAATTTCATATAGTATTTTTTACTCGTTAAATATTTCAGAGCTTGAAAAGGGATTTTGCAGTTGATTTTTTTAAAATCTATTTTAACAAACAAAATTTCAATTATTTTTCAAATCAAGAAAAAAATTTCGTTTATTTATTACTTCCCAGAATTCATTTAGTTACATACTTCTACTTTATTTATTATGCTTCTGTGCTTCTGAAAATGAAATGGAATTGTTAACTTTAAAGAAATATTTTTTAATTAAAATGCTCTTTAAGATACTCACAAATATTTTTTCTGAACTTTGCTTAATAAAATTACCAAATAGTTAGAAAGTAAAAAATTTTATTGACCATTGTTTTATTGGAAAAAATACAGGTTAAAGAAATTCTGACTTTACCTATGTAATTATGAAAGTAACAATTGAATTTTCAGAAAATATTATAATGCCAAACAAATACCTGCAATAACCTATATACATAAATGATTGTAAGGCTAAAATAAGACAAACTATATGATAACAAGCAATTAACTTATATTTGCATTTATAATACAGAGCCGTAGAAGAACAAACTGTAAAGAAATAACAATTACCAGTATTAGTTATTTTAAAAACATATTTTCAACAATAAATATCCCCTGTTTTTTATTTATTTATTATTTTTTTGATTAATGAATTTGAGATCATTGCATTAACATACTTAGGGCATAATATTTGGTCTTTAATTTTATTTAATTTAGGTTATCTTTTTATTCATTATGATTAGAACCAAAACTTTAACTTACAATTTTTTGACAATTTTATAATTATTACACATAAATAAGGCTTTGTATTGTCTTTCCTCTTTTTTTCTTTAAAAAAATTTAAAATCATAAATTTACTTTTATCTGTTAATATTTGCACGCAAAAATTATAAATATAATTTGGATATTAGAAATTTGTAAATCATTGCTGTCAAATGTAAATGTCTCACTAAAATACTTAACTATTGCTAGTTTCAGAATGATCCTTGGCAGTATTTCTTATCTGTTCATATCATAATTTTTAGTTTTAAAATTAACCCCATGCTACTTATGAATTTGCTATAAAAGAGCTTGTTTTGAAATGTATAATTTTTATTTTTAGCTGTGTGTCTGGTGTTTAGAAGTGCAATTCGATAATAACATTACAGATCGACCTTTGATTCTTCAAACCATTTTTCAACTACATAATCAGCTTCAAAGTAAACGTTTTTTGACATGGGAAATTTTCCTTCATCGTTTTGATACACTTTTTCTTGAAGATCAAATTATTCTTGAAAAACTTGGAGAGGTAGCTTATGTTCGAGGTAAAAATTGGTTTCAATTTATAACTTTGAATTTTAATGTACCTTATTTATGTGTTGTTGAACACATAAGAATTATTAATTTTTGTATAATATTGATAGTTATTATTCAAATAAAATAAAATGGTATTCAACTTGGTAAATGATTAGCAGCTTATTAGGTTGCACTTGGAAAATGTTGGGTTTTCTTTTCGTCTAGCCACTGTCATTGCGAAGAACTAGGGTTCAATCCCAAATGGCAGCTTGAAACCCAACCAGCTTGTCTGGGAAATTAGACTGCCTGTGCGCACTGCTGACCACATTACCACAATCATGTTGTTGAACACAAAATTGTGGAGCCTTGTCATCCATGCCCCCCTAGTTCACACCAGGCTGTTGCGGGAATGTATCTTTGCTATTTCTTTCTGTCTACATAAATCCATATTCTAACATTAAAACTAACTGATGATAATGAAAAATAAATTATGGATAATTCCTGTTTAATTTAATAACAGACAATCTTTGTCCTGCCTGGCCAGCTTTTTTTCCCCACAGAATTAGAGATCTTTAGGTAAAAGCACAAACAAAAACAGAAAAAGTGCATAGCGTTGCAGTTTGTAAGATATTCATTACAAATACTTACACTTTCAATTTTAAACAGTTTTTGATTATGAATGTTTTTACATTTCTATTTTTTAATGTGTTTGTTATCATTCTTCGTTGACTAATTTTTTAAAAACTCAATTTGAATTTTTACAATTTCTGCTCTAAATTGTTTACGTACAGCATTCAATTTATTTTAATTTCTTGAATATTTATAGATTTGAAAAATACAAATGTAAATAGTGAAATGTTTCAAAAGAAACTGAAAAGAGCTCATGAGGCTTTAGGACATTTAAGCAGCGTTAAATCACTTACTACAAGTTTTGGGGAAAAAATGCCATACAAGAGAGTTATGGCACCAATGGTGATTCGCCAAGATAAAATGGGTAAGTCTGAGTGAACATTGTAAGAAATATTGGTTTTTTATAAATATTTTTTATCATACATATTTTCTAGACGGATTAATTTTTTTTAAAGTTTTTCATGCTTAATATCTTTAATTTATTTTGAAAAAAATAAATAAAAATAAATTTATTTTGAATATTGTATCATTTTTAATATTTATGAATTGAAGAAATTATATTTACTCTTAATTATTAAAAATCAAATCTATGAAATTTCCTATAATATTATTTGCACCAAAATGCCAAAATAATATATTATTATATATATTGTAGAAAAAATTTGTTTATTTACTTCGCAGTAAATTATTTTAAGAATTTGGGATAAATATTGTTGACAAACAATGTTGTTACAGTAATCAATGAATAAAGGGTCAGACAACATTGTGGTTGTGAAGTTATCGCAGATTGTATAAGGAAAATAAGACTCATTGAGATTCAACTTATTTTTGCAGTGATATTCAGTTAAAAATATTAAATTAATCCAGGTCTTACAGTACTGATTGATTTCACTACTATAGTTTTGTAGTATACAAAATAAAGTTTTTCTTTCTTATATTGTTCTTTATTTTTATGTCATTATAAATCTTTATTTTTACATCACAATAAATAAATTATAAAACCAGATAGTTTTTGAAAAGTTTGAAAAGATATTTATTCAAAATAACCAATTCATATTTTACAGTCCAATTTCCAGACGTCTGTTTATCAAATTTTCCAGACTTTTTTTTAAATCAAAATAAACAAAGCTCTTTTCCTTTTTTTAAAGGTATTAGGAAATTTTTTTTTTTCATTTCTTCTTGAGAGACTGCCTTCTATTCTGCCTCATAGTAAACACTTAACAGATAAGAATTTTATTGCTTTAAATTTTTGTTTTAATTTAAAAATCTATTCAATTCTGTTCCTTGTTTTAGATTATTTTCTTTATTAAAATGGATTAATTTACTTTTGGAATTTGAAACTCATTTTTTATGTTATCTTTATCTGATTCACTGTACTAATTCTTCACACGATAGTGGTAAAAATGGAGAAATATGTGTCTTTATTCATGAAAGAGAAAGTTCAAGGTAGTCATCTGCTCACTTTTATTATTTTTTTTATTTATATATATACATATAGAGAGAGACTTTCCATTGCATACAATAGAGAAGAGCAGAAAAGAAAAAGTTCAATCCTCAGCTTTTCTCTTCTGCACTTCTCTATTATTTGCATTTTAACAAAACCCACTTAGCATCAGCATGATCACATTGCTGTAATCAAGTCATGAAATTATGGAACCTTAACTACCATGATCCTTTTAGACCACAAAAATAATGCCTTCATTGATTTGTATATTTACTTTAATTTATTTGATATTGTTTTTTAGATTTTAATGCAACTAGATAACTATAACAATTTTAATTTTAATAAGCTGTAACATTATGTATATATGTGTATATAAACCTGACAAAATTGATTGATATAATAAAATACTCTTTACTTTTTTGTCACAATTTTTTATTACTTTTTACAGATAGAGAAAAGTTTTATGAGCGACAGTCTTCTGCTCCAGTTTTAAAGCGTAAGAGCTCTCGGTTAGTAGGAAGCACAATAGGGCCTTTGGGTCCTTTACAACATTTACCAAATAGTTTTTTTACAGGTATATTTCAGAAATTATTTTTATGTATATCAATGCATTATATTTAATATAATATTAATTTCTTTAAAAATAGTTTTATTTTAATAATTTTCAAACATTAGGTGTAATTTTTAGTGATTATCAAAATCATACTTATTTGGTAAACTATCTACACATTTTTTTAAACATTTTATTGCTTGCAAATATATTCACAATGGTATACATGAAAAATAGAGCGAAATAAAGTACTATTAATATTTTTGTTCTACCAGTCAGATTCTCATTTAATAGGATACAACTTAAACTAATTAGAGTAGATGATATTTTAAGTTTTAAAATCAGATAGAAAAACAAACTTTATCTGACTGAATAGATTGATATTTTTGACTTACCATATATTTGACATAACCACAATCTAGAATATATGAACTAATAGCAAAGTCTGAAGAATAATGTTAATTTTACTCTTTATTTAATCACTAGGAAACTGGTTTTTCTAAAGATTTAATGTTTATTTATAATTTTATATTATTTAATTTAATAATGAACAACAAAATTTCAATGATAAGGTAAAAAAAAAATTATTTTACATTTTAATTAATGTAATGTTAAACTACAAAATCCAAACATTAAACAAATTAGTCAAATAGTTAGAAAGAAATTAAAAAATTTAAAATCAAAGCATGTTTTAAAATTTTATTGGTCAGGTACTATTTGATTTTTTTTTCTGATTTTATAGTTTATGTGTAAGATTCAAGATTAAATTAACTGATGCATGAAGCCTCATCTCTTTAGATTGAGTTATTAAAAATTCTCAATTTTTTTCAGATGGGCATCTAAAGGATACCGTTCAGGATGAAACACTTTTCATGAATGTGCTTTACCGTGCCATGGAAGTAGAGGATCATGATAAAGAAACACTTCCTTTATTAATTTTTCTTTTAATGCAGGTAATATTTTAATTCAAAATTGTTATGAATTCTAACCGATATATTTACAGTGGGTTTATGATAAAATAATAATAACAATAGTAAATTACAACAAAAATTACTGTCTTTTAAAGAATGGTAATTTTTAATTATTATTTCACCCGTAGTTTTTATCACGCCCTGATCCTATTCATCGGACTGATGATAAAATTACAAGAAGTCAGGTGATATGCATTTTATTGTTTTATTGCTATATTTTACTATGAGTATTAAAATAGAAATAATCAACTTATTCAATAAATTTAATTATTTTTTACAATAAATTTAACTTAGATAATTGTTAAGTTAAAGGGTTAAGTAACTAAATTTGTTATAGTTACTTAAATTAATATCAATAACATAACACAATTGTATGTTTTTATAAATCTATTCAATAATCAACAATTATATCTTTTTTATATTAAAAAAATATCAGTTTGTATGAAAATTAACAAGCCAAAAAATGTATTTAAAAGAAACTTGTAAACTGTTCAACTAAACAGAAACAAACATTTTTTTTTGCAGCACATTGTTTTGCAACATTTAAATCTTTTGTTGGGTTACAGTCATAATCAAAAGGAAGGCAAATTCTTGCTTCCCCCTCATAAAGTCAGGTAATTATTTTTTATTTAAAAGTCCAAAATGCGTTTTTTTTTATTATATGTTGCTTATCATAAATAACAATTTTATTTTCTCTTTTTAAATTAAGCTTAATATAATAAACCATTTCTTTGTAAGGAATTCTAATATTCATTTAGTGTAATAAAGTGAAATTTAATATGCATATCAATTCCTTAATGTTCTTGCATTTGTGTCTTCATATAACAGACTTTCCTTACTTTAAGCCTCACTTCTAACCAGAAATTCTTACTGTTGTACAATTTAGACCATATTTTTGAGATTACGGCTTCCCCATTCTTTTAAGGGTCAAAAATTAGAATCCATAAAATAAAATTTTTCAGAGATAGTACATTTTTGAGATTTATTATGATACTTAATTTACACAAATCCCTTACAAATCAGTATATTTAAAGTAAAGTAAATTTGAACCATTAGCTAAGTAAAATTTGAACCATTAAGATTGAATCTCAGATATTAAAAAATCCGAGGTTGATATATTTTATTTTTTTACTACACCCACTTATACGTTTATTTTTCGATTTCTGGTGAGAAAAAATAATCATGAAAAGAAAAAAAAACTTTTAAAATATACTGCTGGTTACAAAAACCTAAATCATGTTAAAACGTATAGTATTCAATGTTATAAAACGTAAGGTCATGAAACTTTTGCGAACTAATTCAATAAAAATACAGTGTTCAACCTAAAAAATATACTGCTGGTTGCAAAAACCTAGATCGTGTTAAAACATATAGTATTCAAGGTTATAAATCTTGAGCTCATGAGATTTTTGGCAAACTAATTCATTAAAAATACAGTGTTCAACCTAAAAACTTACAACAGTTGTATGTGATCTTTGTCTGCTATGATTTTTTTATATATAGTTAAGTAAATGCCAAGTTATTCTGAAATGAATTTTTACATTCTAAATAAGATAAACTTCCAATTGTATGATAATAATTTAACAAATACTTGTTTATACGTCAACTAGATAATTATTTCCTGTGCTATATAATATTAACTATGTATATAATATTAACAACTAATATAGCTCTTCTAGAATCCTAGATAGCTTAGCATTCATTGAATAGATTACTGATTTTTGCCAATTTTGTAAAATACAGATGCTTATTTCAACATCTTCAAGATTAGCACTTGTCAAATTTTATCACTATGTTTTTAAAAAATATTAAAAAACTTCGCATAGATACCTCTGATTTGTCTGACCTAAATGTAAGAAATATAGAAAGTTCAGCACATTATTGATTTTCTTTAATTTTTCAGAAACTCATTAACATTCAGCACATTTCTTTTATGCATGCCAAAGGTATGATCAACTTTTAATGCATTAAAATTTCATTCCGAAAGTAAAGTTTTGACAGAATATTTTGCAATACTATTTTATGTTTTTTTATAGGTTTTAGATTACAATTATGAAATGGGAAATTACCTGTTAACAACCTTTTTAACAATATTAGTCTGTTGTCCAGCACCTCAAAAGTATCCCAATGAAGGATCGCCACCAACATTTTCATTGTGGATGTTGGATTCCTTTAATCGTCATTCTTGGTTGCAGTCTGTATTAGTTATCATCTACAAGGTATATATAAATTTAAATAATTCTTGTTTCTTTTAACAATAATTTATATTGACATCTTTTTTTAATGTTGCATTGCAGTATCATTATGAGAACACACCATATAATCGCTACATCCATTACCTGCTTCTCATCATTCTGAATACTCTGAAATGCCAAAATCACCGTTGTAAACAAGTTCACGAACCACTGCTCAGTCCTTTACCCTCTAGATCTCGAGGTAAGCTATTTAATCGCTCTTTGTTATTTTATTAATTATTACATTCAGATTGCTAAAAAGGTTAATTTATAATATTTAGATTTAAGAAGAAGCTAATAGCTTCGTTATTTTAATAAATATATTTTTCAAACTTATTTTAGCTTTATTTTTATTTTATTTCTTACTTTATTTTTTCAACCCTCTGAGCATAATGCAGAAAATAAGTTGGTTCTCTGGCAAAAAGAATTATGTTTTTTACTATATAACCTTATTTTAAATACAATATAGACTTTTATAGTGAATTTGAAGTAGATACTAGACAGCTTTAACTTCTGAGGTTATCTCCCAAATTTGGAGGTTATCTCCCAAAATACAATATCATTCAAACCTTAGCTGTGATACTTGGGTTTGCATTCTGTTTTCAATCCACAATTGACCAAAACACTAATTTTGAAAAAATCATTGATGATTTCAATATCTCGCCTAAGTTCTTTGTTTTCTAAACTGTATTTTGTATTTTGCAAAATCGAAAGTTAAAAATTTATAATAAAATAAACAAAAATAGTATTCGGTATAAAAAATTTTGCTTCCGTTTTGAAGAACGAAAGAATGCAGAGATAAATAAAAATTATAAAAAATTAAATCAATTAAACTCTAGCCATTATATTGTATGCAGCTTTTGTCATAAATTTATGCCACACATTATGGAAAAATTATTTTTTAATAACTCATCAAAATTACTAAAAAATATTGTGAAGTACTAAGATTTTTTTTTCATGATAAAGATTTTTATATTTATTCAAAGTGACATAATTATAATGTAAATCTGGTATAAAACCTGAGTAGAAAATCTGTCGTATTATTATTTTCAGTTTCATAGATTTTGAAGAACAATTCTGTTTCTTAGTGCCCACTTCTAAAAATATTCATTTTGTGAAATATATGTGTACAAAATAAACACACGCATGCATGACTTGTTTGTTTTTTCATTTTTTTATACATTTTTATCTTTACCCTGTAGCACAATGAATTGATAGTTTGCTTAATTTTATTATTCTCATAATAAAAATTTCGGTATTTTTTCCGATTAAGAAATGATTTTTTATAATTTACTGTTTAAAAATCCGTATGTGTTAATTATATCTTGTTTTTTTAATGCTAAGGAAGTCATTTCTAATTTTTAGTGATATCATTATTATTTAATTAAAAAAATTCATTTTAAATTTATTTTAGATTTCAGTACTCCATCTGCTGACATTGAACACCTGATTGATAGAGATGCAGCCTATGACAGCTCGTATCATGACGAAAGGAAAGGAAAAAAGTTCCCACTCTCTGACAAATCTGATGATCAAATGTTTGATATTAAACAAGCTGGGAAAGACAAGAGTCATCAATGGAAATCTTGGAAGTCTAGTGAGCGTAGTTGTTCAAGTGAAGGTGAAGATGCAGAACCAGAATTAGAAGCTATACCTGAAAGTCCGAAATCTGAGAGTTTTGAGTTGGAGCAGTTTACTACTGATCTTTACACTGAAACAATTGAACAAGCTTGTGCCAATATCGTCAGTGAGCCTTATTCTGGCAATGAAAGTGTAATTGAGATCAATCAATGGGCAAAAATTTCAGAAGTTACCACTTTGAAATTTGATTTGCCTGAACCAGATACAGATGATAAATATGGTGCATTTTCTGACATTCCACAAAGCTCTGTCTCATCAGACATAGAAAATATAAATGTAATTGAGAAATCAGTTCATGAACCCATGGAAAAAAATATTGAAAAAGATTTCTTATCATATACAGATGAAGTTAAAAAACAGAATTCAGATGCTTCTAACAACAGCAAACCACCCAACACAACAGAAGTCACTATAGATATTAACCTGCAGTTGGAAAATATTGAAATAAACCAACCATCTACTGATACCCCAATAGCTGGCCTTTTTCCTCATTATTTGAAAAATGAAAAAAAGCCCCCAAGTGATAAAAATTTTGCTTCAAAATATTCTAAAACTCCTGATGCTAAAGAAGATTTATCAAGAATGAAAAGTTTGCCATTTGAAACTAACCGTCACCAAAGTGTTTGTAGAAGTAAAACAGACAGTAATATTTTAAATTTACCTCGTAGTAATGATGCTAAAATGTCACACTCCAGATACCCTCACTCTAAGTTGTCCCAAAGTAAAAAAAGTCTTTCTAAATTTTCACGCAAAGCAGAGATGCTGAGTAGTGAAACTTTAACTGTTCCGATATTCAGACCACCACTCGAACGATTATTGCCTATTGGTATGTCAGATAAAGATAAAACTAGAAGAAGTGACACCATATCAAATATACCTTACAATGAACCATCTTTTTCCTTCACAGATACGACAAGAGATACATCGATGCAACGAGATTTATGTGAAGATAAGGGTGTCCAAACTGGAAATATAGGCTTGATTGATATCCCTGCCCCTGAAAGATTGCTACCTGTTGGACCTTTACCAGCAACAAAAAAAGATTGGTATCCCTTTGTATCCAAATCAGATTCTGAAACCACATCTGAATCACCTTTGAAAATAAGTATTACGCAAGCTGAAAATATCAATTTAAATAATGTAGTTTCAGAGAAAAAATCAGACCAAAATAAACTTGGTGAGCTACAGTCAATTAAATCCAAAGTTGAGCTTCCAATTTTAGACCTAACACCAGCAAAACTTGAAAGCCGAGATATGCCGGAAACAAAATTGTTACCTCAATCTGCTGTTCCCGAAAAAAAATCATTTGATCAACCTGAAACAAGTGCAGTTGCAGCACTAGCAAGTGGGAATTTCATGAATAAATTGTTTGATATTACACCGGAAATAGGTATACCTAGTTCTGCTTTTTCAGTATTTGATGTTTGTAAAAACGCAATGGATCTGAGGAATGAAGAAAATTCAAAATCTGAATCAAAATTACAGAAAGACAATGACTTGGAGAATTTTCAAAGCAGCACAGGTAGTGTTGATTTATTAACTAATGAAAAAACTGAAGCAACTAATTTGACTCAGGAAAGCACAGTCCATAAAGGTTCAGAAAGAGGTTAGTTTATGATTACTAAAAATGATTCACATAAAATTTTAATAAATATTTATATTTTCTTTTTTCCTAATAATGTAGCCAAGATTATTATACTCAGTTATATTTTAACTTTAATTCAAACATCCTAACTCTAATAATCTCTCTAGTTAACTCTCAATTACAATATCATTTATTTAATTACAATGTCGGAGTAAAAGCTTTTAATAACAATTTTTAATTATATCAATTTTAAGCAAAATACTAGAAAAATAAGTTTAACATAAAAGTATGAATTTCTAATTAAATTATTACTCTTGCTATATTTAACAATTATACTTTAAGTGCCCATTTTATTAATTTAATCATTTATTTATAAGCAAAACAGTTTTTAAATTTTATGATTGCATACAAAATTTATTACTAATTTTTAGTGATCTGACAAATTACTATAAAATAATTTTATATAAAAATTATTAAAATGATGTGCGTTTTACTAATGCTTTTTATTAATTTTTTACAAGTTATTTCTGCTTGAGTTGTATCTCACTGTTGATATTTTATACTGGAAGATTCCTTAATTATTATTTTTACAAGTTAAAATTTGTCATAAATTATGAATGTGATACAAAAAATATTCATAGTTTAATTTTAATTCACGTTGTTCATTATTGTAAAATAATTTAATATAAAAATTATCAAGATGTTTTATTAATGCTTATACTATACAAAAACATTTTGCAAGTTACTTCTTATTGAGAAGAATGCATTTAAACTTGAGCATTCCTTAATTCCATCAATATTAAAACAACAGCTAAGAAAATTTTATCATGAAACTTATCACCTTTATGCTACAGCAACATTAATTTAAAAAGCTGGTCTTTATAATTTTTATATTATTTCTATATTTATACTACATTATTAGTATATACTGAAAAGACTATATCCAATCAAAGTATGAAATTGATTTAAACAAATTTTAAGATAAAAATTTTATTATAAAACTTTAGAATAATAAGTCAAAAGTGTAAGTCAATTCTAACTTTTTATTTAAATTGTTGACATAAGACAAATTTGATTTTAGCACTTTTCCATTTTGACTTATTTTAAAGTTTTTTCCTGAAATTTTTCTCTTAAAATTTATTTAAATCAATTTCATACTTTGATTTAATTTGCTTATTTTTGGTTTCTAAAGTCGTTTAAGACTATATTTATGTAATACATTAATATATAGAAAATGTATATTAGAAGTTTAATTGCCTAAAACATATAAAAACCTAAACATTTTAATATCTTATTATAGCTTTCAGTTACATTCTTAGAAATTACTAAGTTTTCAAGTATTCAACTCATTTTTTCTGTTTACAGGCGATGTAACTTTTTCCTTGAGCAGTGTTTAAATATTTTTTAAACTTTTGTTGTTTTAAAAGAAAAAGTGTTAACTTATATTTATTCATAAATTTTTTTTATTTCTGAAAAGACTATTTTTTAATAACCTACTTAGGGGTGCACAACCTTTTTCAGTGAAGGGCCACATGCACAGCAGATTGACCAATGAAGGGCCGCATGCCAAAGTGTTTAGACCGACATATTGAAAGCAATTGTTGGTGGTGATTGTTATATAAACATCATTGTTTATATAACACTAAATTCTTTTTGTCGGTTAACCTTGTAATCTCTTTGCAGAAAATACAATACTTTAAAACGTTTAAAATTAGAAAATGCAAAACTGATTACTTAAGAAGGAAAACAGAATTCGAAAATCAGAATCAATTTATCGGAAAAAATTTAGATAAATTGAAATAANTAGCGTATAAAAAATATCGGTACTTTCAAAACCTTGTAGAAATGTGTAGCAATAATTTCTAAAATAACGATTGCAAAATAATTTGATTTGCGATAAAATCGTTACAAATAAGCCATGTCAAAAAATGGTTATCTAAATGAGCGATTCTTTACTCGCGATTCGTAATAATATCGTGCTAAAATATCGAAGTTTTAAAAACCGGGCGGAAATGTGCAGCAATAACTGTTGAAGAAAGGATCTAAAGTCATTTAGATTTTCCATGAAGTTTGCACAAATAAAGCGTTTCATAACTTTCAAAAATCGCTATTTCAGAAACTACTTGAAAATGGGTAGCAATAACTACCGAAAAGTCATTGGAATCGGCACATAAGCGTCAAAAGTGGTAATCAAAATTCGTAATAATGATGTATTAAAAATATTGGGATTTTTAAAACTATGCTGAAATCCGTAGCGTTAACTATCGAAAAACTACATTGATTGAGATTGGGTGCGTCAAAAACTTAAAAGTGCAAATTTAAATTACCGATTTTTTTTTTATTATTTTTCAAAAACAAATATTTAAATTTTTTTTTTTTCATTTTGTTCAGATTGCGGCCGCGGGCCGCACATCCAGGGTTGGCGGGCCGCATTTGGCCCGCGGGCCGCAGGTTGAGCACCTCTAACCTACATCGATTAGTATCTTTAAGATTTTCAAACTTTATTTAATATTAAATCAAAAGTTGCTTGCTGTCTTTTTAGATTGCACATGCACAAATTTATTTTAAAGCTTCTGTTAATTTTTAAGCATGATTAATTTTCTGTGTGAAATTAATTACTCAAGATTTAATTTATTATCATATGAAAAGAACTACAGCTTTCCCTCTACTTGATTCTTAAAATTTAACAATTCAATTATTTAAGAAGTAAATAATACCTTCAAGTCCAAGTCTCAATTGTATAGCATTTAGCTTTTTTTTAAGAATATCAAGTTGATATGTTTGCAATCAGTTAGTTTTAAAAGTTATATAAGCATTTAATAGTATCTGAAACTCTTAAGTTTGAAATATTTATTTAAAAGTTGTAAAAAATATTTTTTTTATGTAATTTGCAACCTTAAAATGAATTTCTTCTTTGTTGTTGTAAATATAGGGTTTTAAAGCTTATTTGTAAAAATAGTTTGTTGCATAAAAATTTATTTTGTTATATACGTTTTGTATATTATAGCTTCAGATGATGAAGTTAAATGCAGGCTCCCATATAGGCAGCGTAAACAGAGAAAATCTGGTTTAAGTACTCTAGAAGCTCAAAGAAGTTTTGACTATCAGAATGCGGGCGGAAGGTAATATGAAACTTAAAATTTCTGGTTTTACTATAATATTTAGAAATGAACAATTTTGTTTATTAAATGTAAATGCATTATTGTCCATCTTTATAGTGATTTAAAATGAATATGAAGAGACATTAAAAACTGTTTTAAGTGAGAGTCCTAAACTATTCTTCCCATAAGTGCTTATTACTTGGACTTGGACTAATTTAGTTATGAGTCACATTTTTTTAAGTGTGACATTTTTACATCAATTTCTGAATATTGTTTTCAGATATTTGCATGGTTTCTGGAATTTCTACCTGATAACAGCTCAATCTTATTGCTAACTTAAAAATTGAGATATTTTTCACCAATAATCTTCTAAAAAATTTGAGAATGTAACCTATCATTCTACGGTCTCAAGTCTTTAAGTTTGTAGTTGTAGCTGGCTGTGAGAAACAGAAATTAGATGTGTGAGTGCAATAGGATATGATAATTGACTAAGACACATTACAAACTGTTCATTGATTGTTGATATTTGCCTGTTTATTTCTTCAAGTGATAAAAAATTTAATTTATAAGATGATTAAAAATCCTTTTAAAATATTTTAGACGTATGAGAAAAGTAGAAATGGGAAGTATTTCGAGTGGTGGACTAGCATCTAAACGATCCAGTACATGTCAAGGTTCATTTCCCCGTGGCGGAGATGATATGGTTATTGAAAGATGCACTGAGTGTGGAAGTGTCATTGAAGAATACAGTGATGAAGAAATTGGCCTTTGCATTGTAATACTTTCAACTTTTGTACACAGAGAGCCGTCTATGGCTGCACCATTATTGCCAAAAATTTTAAGAATTGTTTCAAGGTAAAAATCTATCGAATACTCTAAGGCTGTTCAAACATAGATTATGTCTAACTATTATCACTTTTGTACTAAACTTTTAATACAAATTTACGCTTAAACTTTGTAATGAGGGTTATTGAAATAAACATTATTCCCAGTCTGATTTAAAACTGATGTGAATTTTCTCATGAAGGAACCAGAATGCATGCTTAAGGTACTGTCGATTAAAATTAGTTAAATTTTAAATGTGAAGCTTTAAATAGCACCCATATGTGTTATCATAGCCCATGCTGAAATGGTTAATTTCATTGTTCCTTTTCTCAAAAAATATTGAACTAACTTTTAGTTATTTATTTTTCGTATTAATGTTAAAGTGCTAATTTTTACTCAGTTTCGTTTTTCTTTTTTTTTTTTCATTTGGAAAATATGTAATTAAATGAATTTGTCTTATCATTGATTTTTAAAGTTGAAAAAAAAAAACAATTT